AGTAAACTGATAGCCATGTTCATCTGGGAAAACTGAATCCCAGTAAATAAAGGAGCTAGGAGTAGGAAAGCTTGCTGGACTCTCTATAGTCCTGGGCCTATGTGCAGTGCTCTCTAACAAAGGCCCATCTGTTTAAGGAGGGATTTCTTTAATAATGTGTTCCCAGATAATGATGGATATGCTCTGTGTAGTGGTTGTTCTAGGTGACTGAATAGTTCAGAACATGACTCTCATGATTTCTGCTGTTCCTGATCTTCTGTCCTGTGCTGAAAGAGCTGCCTGAATTCCATGCCTTTCCTCCTGATATGCTAGGAGGAAGAAGCATGAAAAGCTGATGGAGAAAGCTGGCCATGGGTGCTGATTCCTTCCTGCTGTCTGAAGGTCAGAAGCAGGGAAGAGACTGCACTCCTGGCCTAGGACAGAACCCAGAAAGCAGGCTCCCACCCCTTTGCCCTCCCACCCCACTGCCCTGCCTGCCCACCCTCTCCTCTCCAGCAGACTGGGAAGCAGCTATGTAGAAAGGGCCCAGAATTGAGATGGTTTATGATGAGGGAGGGTACTTAGGTGCCTGGAACTGTCCTTAGGACCATCAGGAGGCAGACTCCATATTCGGATGGCTTCCTGATATGACAGGTGGCGCGTTTTGTGATACAAGTTTATCCACATATTTATGGAAGCTTCCACCTATTGCTCTGTCCACTTCCCAGCAAGCTTGCGTAGAAGATGTGCTGCTGTCCTTTGAGCCAGCCTTCTCTTCCATCTCACTCCTGACCCTACTACCCACTTCAGTTTGGGCCCTGCATAGAACTCCAAACTGTTGGACTCCTTATCCCCATCCCTCACCTCAGTGAATCTAAGGTCTGACCCAGTCTTCTGCTGGCTGCTGGATTTTCATGTGTTGACTCTGACACCTCTTTGTCCACCCCTGTTCTGCCACTGCAAGGACACTTAGAGTTCTTTCCCCAGCACCTAGAAAAGATTAGCCATCCCTTCCTCTCTGCTGCATCTGATGAAAGCTATCCATGACGACACTGAGCCCCATGGTCTTCTCCACTGACTTCTACCTCTGAGCCGTGCTGGGACATCTTGGGGGTCTGGGAAACTCAGTGGCACAGCAAAACTGCCTGTTTATCTCTAGAGCTCAGAGACTGTTGACTGAAAGTGGTCAGAGTGCCTTAAATATGCCTGCAGAAAGAGAGTAGGAAGCAGTTTCCAGTTGGCTTTGAAACCTTGACACGGTGGTGGAAAGTATCAGCCATTTCCAAATCCCCTGTCCTGTTAGCAGTCCAGCTACTACATAAGCTGTAGTGCCTTCATTCAGTTTCAGGCTAATTTCTGACAATCATTGCTGTTTTCCGTGGAGGAGTATATTATGACATTTTTCAAATAAGGGATGCTAACACATTGTCTATCACACGTGGCACTCACTCCAGTTCTGACAGGATTGTGAATGACATTATAGTGGGACAGCTGGGTTAAGAATTGAGTTTTTTTGTTTTGTTTTTTGGTTTCTTTTTTTTTTTTTTTCTCCCTGCAGCTAAATAATGATTGTGTGCATCAAGGCTTGTTTCCTTGTGTTTTCTAGACACTCTAAGTGAAACCCATCAAGTCATCTATGAAAATGGTGGCGCTCTCCTTAAAGATCTGTGTCCGCCACTGCAATGTGGTGAAGACCATGCAGTTTGAGCCATCGACAGCCGTATATGATGCGTGTCGAGTCATTCGGGAGCGAGTGCCCGAGGCACAGACGGGACAAGGTGAGTCCTGGTTTGTAACACGAATAATATAAACCCAGAGACAGATATTGGTGTTCAAGCTAAAGATAAGCAAAGCAGCCAAACCACCAGAGAGCTCGTGCCTCTACCAAGGCTGGGGAGATCCTATCCTCAATGTGGCTGGAGACTAATTGCCTAAGACTAAATACTGAATACCCTGCTCCTGTCTTACATACCTCTCTAGTGCTAGTATTAAAGGCATAAGCTCTATTTCTGTTTTAATTGATTAACTCTCATGTAGCACTGAGTGGCCTTGACCCCACAGAGGTCCATCTGCCTCTGTCTCCAGAGTCCTGGGATTAAAGGCATGTGCCACCACTGCCCAGCTTCTATGACTGTGGCTAGCTTTGCATTCTGATCTTCAGTGCCTTTATTAGATCATAAACAATGTATCACCACAATGGTTATTCATTGGTTTCTGAAAATGTGCTTGGATATCCCTTAACTCTGTAGCGAAAGGGACAAACCTAGACACATATAAAACACCTCTATTGTAAGCCAGGCATGGAGGCTCACTCCTTTAATCCCAGAACTCTGGAGGCAGAGTCAGGCTGATATTTCTGAGTTAAGGCCAGACTAATCTACATAGCCAGTTCCAGGATAGCCTGTACTACTTAGTAAGACTCTGTCTCCAGGAGGAAAAAAAATCTGAATTTTAAATGCAATGTGAGAACAAGACTTTCATTGTCAATGACCACATTAATATTGACCCTTAAAAGCCGGGCTTTGGTGGCACACGCCTTTAATCCCAGCACTCGAGAGGCAGAGGCAGTCAGATCTCTGTGAGTTCGAGACCAGCCTGGTCTACAAGAGCTAGTTCCAGGACAGGCTCCAAAGCCACAGAGAAACCCTGTCTCAAAAAACCAAAAAAAAAAACAAAAAAAAAAAAAAGCATTGACCCTTAGTACTCAATGTGGATATGCCTGTAATCTTGGCCCTCCTCAGGTGATCACCCTACTTTGCAATTTACAAACCATTTTTTGGTGTGTCACTACACTGGTTGAATAAAGAGTAACATATTTGCCTGATACTCCATGTAGCCTCAGCCATGTGTAGGTCTTACTGTGCAAGCCCTATGAAGGAGCTTCATGAATTTTACTTCAATTTTTAAAAAGATTTTGTTTTTAGTTATGTGAATGTATGTACATCTACATATAGGTTTGTACATGTGTGAGTGTTGACACCCACAGAGTCCAGAAGAGAGTGTTGTTTATAATATTCAAATTGTTTGAGTTTTATTAAATTAATCAGCAATATAAATTTGCAGACAATCCCTATCTGACTCTAAGATTTGCTTGTCTGCTCTCGCTGGTACTTTTTAGTGACTTTTTTTTTTTTATTGTTTTCTGCTACTATGAGAACTTTTCTTTGAGCTGAATTGATACTAGTTCTGGCAAAGGCCTCTGAAAACTCAGAAATCACCTTTCTGAGGTGTTGTGGGAACCCTGACCTTTCTGAAAGGTTCCAAGGTTTCTTCAGTTACATTAAGGAAAAGACAGCCTGGGAAGATGGCTCAGTCATTAAAGGGCTTGCTGCATAAGTTTTAGGATCTGAGTTGATGCCCGGAATCTAGGTAGACTTGAAATACCATCACCAGTAAAGAGGAAACAGGAAGACGCTTGAGGGTCAGTGACTAGTCAGCCTTGCTGAATAGCAGGTCAAGAAGAGACCCGGTCTCAATGAGCAAGAGAGATGGCACCCCGAGGGATGACACCTGAAGTTGACCTCTGGCCTTCATAGGCATGCATGTGCAACCATCCCCACTCCTCACAACCTAGGAAAAGTCTAGGTGGGAATGACCATGCTCCTCCTTTGCCCCCAGACCTCTTGGCCTTCCCTCATTGGATTAAGAGACCTTTATAAAGAATATTAATTCTCCAACTGTTTTCTTTAATTTCTAGTTTTGGGTGACAGAAGCTTCACCCCATAAGGAAGTCCTAATTACTCCTCCAATTACTCAATCTTCCTGCCTCAGTTTCCCTGAGGCTAAGGTTGTAGAGCATTTGCCACCGATCTTTTATAACAAGTTCTTTTTCAATTTTTTTAAAATTTCGTGTTTTTTGTGCATTGGTGTTTTGCCTACATGTATGTCTGTGTGTTATATATGCCAGAGTTATAGATAGTTGTGAGCTGCTATGTGGATGTTGGGAATTGAACCCGGGTCCTCTGGAAGAGCAGTCAGTTCTCTTAACTGCTGAGCCATTTCTCCAGCCCCTCTATAATGTGGTCTTCTGCTATAGCCTATCTTCCTTGCTTTGCCTCAGTGACTCTGGTCAAGGGAGGTTACTCTCTCCATTTTTTCAGGGCTGTGCATGCCTGGCTAATTGAGGTTCTGGTAGCAACGACCAGAAAACAAAGCTAACTTCAATTAGAAATACAGACTGCTCTGTTCCCCATGACTCTCTTACACTATAGGCACACCTCCAGCCTACTGGTCCATATACATGGACCTTGCAGGGGCCATTGATTCTGCTGGGAGATCCCTCCCAGACTGCTTCCAAGTGGGTGAGTGATACTATTCTATTGGTAAGAAGCAGGTCTCTCTGGTGATGTACATTATTTTCCTCCTCTCTGATTCAGTGCCTTTGGGCCAGTAGTAGCTTTGTACACACTTGGCTTCTTTTTCTCTCTGTTTACTTTCCAGCCTCTGACTATGGGCTGTTTCTCTCTGATGAAGACCCCAGGAAAGGGATTTGGCTAGAAGCAGGAAGGACACTGGATTACTACATGCTGCGGAATGGGGTATGTTGTTGGTCATCTTTTCTTTTTATTTCTTTTATCTGTTTTTATGTGTATGTATGGGTGATTTAATTGCATGTGTGGTATGTACTACTTCCTTGACTATTTCCTTGGAGTCCAGAAGAGGGTGTTGGATCCCCTGAATTTGGAGTTAGAGACTACTGTGAGTCATCATGTGGGTGCTGGGAATCAAACCTGGATCTTCTGAAGAGCCTGCAGTACTCTTAACTACTAAGCTGTCTCCTGAGCCCTGTCTTTTTTTTTTTTTAATAACATTTCCTTATTGTGTATCTGTGTATGTGTATTTGTGTGTTTCATGGCATGCATGAAAACGCCAGAAAACAACTTTGAAGAGTTGGTTCTCTCCTTCCATCATGTGGGTTCCAAGAACTAAACAGTGTTAGTGCCGGGCACCTTTACCCACTGATCCGTGTTGCTGGTCCACTGCTCCTCTTTTCTCATTGCTTCCCTGCTGGGAAACCAACTATGGAAACCCACTGCAGCAATGTTCTAATCCAAGAGCTTCTTATTGGTAATTTCCATGCGATGAACCGCTGAGGCCATCCAAGTGGTGAGAAGATTATAGCCATCTAAAGTTCTTGGAATCCACAGAGATATTGAAACAGTTCGGGCTAGTATGCTGAGCAGTGTCTCCATGCTGATCGAATTTGGGTAGTTGTGAGATAATCTCCATTATGTTCCTTGAGTAGATATGAGGTGTCCCTGGACTGGATTAGACACTGAGGCCACCTGAGGGAAAGCAGAGATGCCCTAAGACTGCTCAGGGCAGTAATAAAAGTTACCTCTGCAGTTTAATTGATGGATAAAAACACGCTAAGCATTTGTCCCCCTTCACCTCCAAGGTCCAGGGGTTTTGTGTGCCCTATGAAGCAAGCTTGTTAGATTGACCAGGATTCCAGAAAGCAAGGGTGAATTGTTCAGTTAATTCATGGAACCTACTCAACCATCTGTAGTTCTGTTTCTAAGAATTAAAATGAAAATGAGATCTCCTATTTTGAAGTAACCCCCATTCCCATTCTTTGTTTTATCTTACCACTGATGTTTCTACTACAGTCTTGTTAAACTATTCCTGCTTCCATACTCACCTTCTATGAAGCTTTCTGGGGCTATTATTTATGTCTTTCATTATGTCGACTACATATATAGTTAATGTATTCAGCAAACATTCTAAAGTAACGTTTTAAAAGGAAATGTTCATTTTGTGTGTGGGGGTAGTAAAATTGTTTCTGATGACAAAACAGATTCCATTACCATTGCTTGAAGTATTGCCCTCTCCTCAATCTTATTAGTGTTGCTCTTCCCCAGCCGTTGGAGCATATAGGCATCTTCACTTTAGAGAAAGTGGTTTCTAGTCATTGTGAGCCACAAGTATTCCCTCTTGAAGGACAATCTTATTACGAGAGGTTTTTCGTAATCCTCATGAAAGTCATTACTTAGCACTCAGAATTCTGTGTGCCAGCCCCAGCAGCACCCCTGTGAATACTTAGGAAGGCTTTCAAAAAAGTTTCAGACAAAGGAAGATGTAGGCATCTCCTGGGGACTTAATTTCTAAAGAAAAGTGTTCGATGCTGTTGTGTTTTTTCAACTCAGTATGTGGTGTGTGTGTGTGTGTGTGTGTGTGTGTGTGTGTGTGTGTACGGCTTGTGTCTAGGATATTTTGGAGTACAAGAAGAAGCAGAGGCCTCAGAAAATTCGAATGTTGGATGGCTCTGTGAAGACGGTGATGGTGGATGACTCTAAGACAGTGGGAGAGCTCCTGGTCACCATCTGCAGCAGGATAGGTGAGCAGCTCTGCCCTCCCCCCCTTGCTTTGGCCACACCCACCCCTGCAGTATTACTACCCAGAGTTCTGCCCATACCCAGGAAAGTTCTGTCCAGTCTTTCCATTTGCCTGGTGTCCAACTGGTATAAAACTCGATGAGCCATGGTTACGAGCTTTTATTTCCTTTTGCAGAAAACAAGAGGGAGTTTCTGGGTGAAAATGATTTTTGGTTGTGTGATTCACCCTTCCCCACTGGAGACCACTGTCTCTTGAATTCTCATGGTAACAGCCAAAGTGACTCGCAGCACAGATTTACTTTGTGTTGCTTCTGTCAGCCTCTCCAGAGAGCAACTCAAATGAAACCCTTCAAGTGCTGGGTGAAAGGAGTCTTACCTATCTTAGGTTTCCCTTCATGGAAGGCCCTAGTTCATCTGTATACGTCTTGTTTGGCAGGGTCATGCCTTATTCTATCTTGCCCTTGTTTCTCAAAAATTAATGGAGGCTGGGCATGGTGCTATACACCTTTAATCCCTGCAAGCTGGAGGCAGGGCAGACAGGTCTTTGTGATTCCATGGCCACCAAGGTCAACATAGTAAGTTCCAGGCCAGATAGGACTAGCTACCTTGTGAGACTACATCTCCAAATAAGTAACTACATAAATAAATAAAAATTAATGGAGTAGTTGAGGCATGGCTCAGTGATAGATGCCTTTTTTTAATGATTTAGGTTTGATCTCAGAGAGAGACAGAGACAGAGAGGGGGCAGAGACAGAAAGACAGGAGAGTATTATATAAGTGTCATTGTGGAGAAAATTGTATTTAACGCCTTAAATTCAGCTTCCCAGCCCATAGAGCTTTTGTTTGTGCTGGAGCTGTGTGGTGTGTGTGACAACTCTAGCCCTCAAGTGAGGAAGGCCCGTTCCTGTGCTTGTGGACCTTTGTAACATCCCAGGCCCTTAGTAGAAGTTGGTAGCAATTTAATCATGTATAATTATGACACAATTTCTGTTATTAGGAATAACAAATTATGAAGAATACTCTTTAATCCAAGAAACCATAGAAGAAAAGAAAGAAGAAGGAACAGGCACACTCAAAAAAGACAGGACGTTGTTAAGAGATGAGAGGAAGATGGAGAAGCTGAAGGCCAAGCTCCACACGGATGATGACTGTAAGTCTTGTGGGGGAGACTGGTAACCCAGGTACACAATCCCTCAGAGGCTGGATCCCCTGCCACCATCCACATGACTGAGAGCTACTTTGGGTTTTTTTTTTTTTTTTTTAATCTGTACATGTTTTGCCTTGTCTCACTAAAAGATAATAATTACAAACAACATTTAATGTGGCTATAATAATCTTTGACATCCAAAAAAGAATCCATTCATGTCAAATATATAAATTGTGTTCACAATTTCCTACTGTCTTGCAAAAAATGTAATGGGATCTAAATGAGGCAGAATAGCATATACACTTAACTAAGCAAGTTCCCTCTCCATCTCTCTTACGTTTTCCTTTGCAATTTTTGTGTGTGTGTGTGTGTGTGTGTAATAATAGCCTTGCATATGTTGTGAATGTTGGTAAGTATATACCTTTTGTGCCCCTCTAAATTCGTTAGATCTGGAGGCTTGCTTAGGAGTAGGTGGGGGGTGGTAATAAGCACTCCTTCAGTGGGATACTTCCATCAAGAAGTTGTTTCTGGCTGTGTTTAAGAGAGATATTAATAGCTTTCAGTACCCATGCCTAGATCCATTATTTCCTTAGCAATTAAGATCCGTGAGATTGGTGTGCTATAGCAATGTCCTGGAACAGCCACATGGATAAAGTGTACAAAAGCAGCAGATGACCTCAGATGCTTCCAAATCCCTGCGCTGTGACCCTTGCTGCCCACCCTCCTCTGGGTGGAGCTTAGTTCATCACCTGGCCTTCTTTCCTTCTAGCCTCCTTGTTCCTGCTGCAACTCTGGCATGACATCATCACTTTCATAATGTTTATTTTTTTGTGGTGGCCCTGCCGTTTCCTCTGAGTCCTCCTCTGTTCCCTTCTCTTTCTACCTCATGATCTTTGGTGGGCCTGCCGTTTCCTCTGAGTCCTCCTCTGTTCCCTTCTCTTTCTACCTCATTAAATTTCCAGTACAGACCTCTTTCCAGAAGCCTTTAGTAGACAAATCCAAGGATTTATTAATGTGTACACAGCACCCTCCCAGGTGACTGTGGGAGAGGAGATCTGTCAGACAGGTTTCTTATGCCAGAGTTGCTTAGCATTTGGTGAGGCTGGTTATAAATACTAAGCCCAGTGAGTGTGGTGTGTGTATATGTGTGGGGTAGGGGTAGGGGTAGGAGAGGGAGAGGAGTAGAGGAGACAGAGGGCTTCTGGGAATGAGCAGGGGAGTGGCTGATTCCTGTGCACCTCGATGTAAGGACAGGATTTTTAGGATGACGTCAAATTCAAGCTGGCCCACAGGGCCATATGTCATCTCTAGATGTTAGTTTTGAGTCTGTACATCACCTTATGACTTTCATTTTCTCCCTATTTCCTATTGATATCCTAGAAATTTGCTATACCTAGGGTCTCTAAACCATCTCACTAGATAAGATTGAAGTAACTTCTCTTGATTTCAAGGAAATCTCCAATCTAATGTGTTAGTTATTTGTCTTGTTGCTGTGACCAGATACCTCTCAAGAAGATATATAAGTGTCAGTGAGATGACTCAGTGGGTAAAAGAACTTACTGACATGCCTTAATCTGAGTTCCATGCCTGGGACCCATATGGTATGAAGAGACAAGCCATTCCCATGACTCTGACTCTTATATGTACTCTACAACATAGCCACACACATGTTTCCACACGACAAAAGAAAAGCAGCTATTTAAGGAAGGGAGGGTTTGTTTCAGTGTTCAGTTCAAGGGGATACATTCCGTCTTAGCAGAGAAGAGATGGAGACAGCAAGAGGAGGCCTACTGTTCATACTGTATCATCAGTCCAGAGGCAGAGCATCATCAGAAACCCACTGGTAGAACCCACTGGTCCTGTGAGGATCCACCTGCTGAAGGTTCCACAGCCTTCCCTCTAACTACAGCCAGCCCTTAAGGACCCAGAGTTCAGATACTTTCATACAACACTGCTTGGTTTCTTAGGCAAAACACTAATTTTTCCTGCTCCCTCACCTCCACTTCTCTGTATTAGCAATGTACCGTAGTACAGTAGCTGACTTTGGGAATGGCTAGGGATTAGAGTATGGTAAGTGTCAATCATCTCACAAAGTTAAGAAGTAATCTTAAGCAACCATCAGCATTTATGGAAACCCACTTCCACAGCAGGCTGCTGCAATGAGTAGTAAACACTGTCCTTCCATCTGTCTCATGTTGTAGTAAATTGGCTAGATCACAGCCGAACGTTCAGAGAGCAAGGGGTGGATGAAAATGAAACATTGCTTCTGCGACGGAAGTTCTTTTACTCCGATCAGAATGTGGACTCAAGGGACCCAGTGCAATTGAACTTGCTTTATGTCCAGGTATGTTATTTACTGATCAGACTACAGATGAATGTGACGGCTCATGTTAATTGTCAACTTGACAGCACCTGGAGTCACCTGGGAAGGGATTCTCAACGAGATGTTGTCTAGCTTAGGTTGGTCTTTGGGCATGTCTTCCTTATGTTAATTGAGGTGGAAAGACCCACCAACTGTGGGTGGCATTATTCCCTAGGCCGAAGAGTCTTGACTCCATAAGAGAGGAGAAAGCATAGTCAGAGCTAGCATGCATCTGTGTTCTTGACCTTGGATATAAAGTGGTAAGCTGCTTTAAGTGACAACTGCCCACTTCCCCACAATGGTGGATTGTAACCTAGAATTGTGAGCCAAATAAACTCTTTCTTTCCTTAAGTTGCCTTTGTCAGAGTATTTTATTATAGCAACAGAAAAGAAACTAAAACATTAAGTGAACTTCAGGAGACTTCTGCATGGTCATGTGGTAAGTAGGTGTCCATCTCTGGTTCTCACAAAGTAGAAAGAACCTCAAATCCAGAGGTGCTGTTCTTCAGTCCCTAGTGGGACTTTGTATAATTGGCATTGGGTATAATCAGCTGGTTATTCAGAGGAGGCGCTCACTGATCCCCTTTGGGGCTTCTTGAGTTGGGACCTAGTGGCCATCACTGTCTCCTGCCTGACCCTGGGAGGCAGTTGGATTTATTTAACTGATCTCATTTCACAAGCTAACATCTTAGACTGCAGAGGAATATTAGCAAGAAAATCAGTACTTCTCAATAGCAATCTTCTCACTCACCTTTTAAGTCTTTGCTGTTAACTAATTACTTAAGCTTATAAAATGGTTTAACACCTTAGTTATGATCTCTCAGCATATGTGATGTGGGCTTTGCACTAGGTTGCCCACGGGCTTCTTTTGACTCAAGGAAAATGCCACCCATGTTCCTTTGGAATTTCTTCTCACCCCGAATTCTTTCTGTCCTTCCTTTTACCCACTTGTCTGTCCTTAGAAATGATGCAGAGTTTGCCAACTGTAGCCCTACCCTCCACCAGTATTGAGAGTAAATAGTTCATTTATGTAAGCATTATATATTGGCAAGTCCCCTTACCCATTATATAATTTTCTGTTTTCTGTGTCTACTCTTGGAGGTAACTAGCAGAAGTGAGTAGGTAGTTACAACACAGACCAATTCTACTGGAAGTCCAAAATAGTTACTTTTTGCTGACTTCTGCAGAAGGAAGAATGGTATTGAATGACCATGGAAGGCAGAAAGGAAGGGAGCTAGAAGGGCTGTTAGAAGAAGCTTTATACATTTAGAGCCTAGAGTGATAGCTGAGAGTGCCCATCTCAGACTGTTCTGAGAAGAGGAAGAGAAAAGGGCAAGCGATAAATAGCAACAGCCACTGTGGTTTAGGAGAATTGGGAACAGGACTTCCAATGTAACATCATGCTAGGCCCTGCATGTCCACAGACTGCTCTCTTGTCTGGGTATGGGAGTACATATCTGTGTGACTGTCTCTCCTAGTAGATCACATTGGTTCCTGGATGATTGGGATAGTTTTGCTTCTTTGTTGATATTTTTCTAGCTATCTTTATGACTTAGGCTCAGGTGAAGCAAATCATGTTTCTAAGTCAACCCGTATAAATCCGGGCATTTCACAGGATTTCCATAGTCTCTTCATTTCCCATAGTCTCATCTGCCTCCCTACAGTATCATTATTTATTTATTTATTTTGTCTTTTGATAATCCAGGTACCTGTAGTGCTATTGCCCACTTTGAAAGGGGAACACAAAAAACTTCCCTTTCTCTTAGCCTCATTTCTGCCTACCCCAGTATTCACTGTGCCTCTGTGTCTGCAGTACCTGTTCTGAGTCAGGAACATGTCACTCACGGAAGTGTAACCCTTGCCAGGACCCTGAATCTCTTCCTTTTTCATGTATTTCAGGCTCGGGATGACATTCTGAATGGCTCTCACCCTGTCTCCTTCGAGAAGGCGTGTGAGTTTGGTGGATTTCAAGCCCAGATACAGTTTGGACCTCATGTGGAACATAAACACAAGCCTGGATTCTTAGAGTAAGTGCCCCTCCATTCTTCTTCCCCCTCTTTTCTCCTGTTTATCTTTGAAGAGGAACCCAAGAGGCACTTCCTTGTCCCATCTGGTTGTGAGAATTGACTTTCACTCAACTGAATTTGGGACCCAAAATGCAGACTGTTGTTGGTAAATTAAGGTATGTAAAAATACAGAATAGTGACTGTCAGCATTACCCTTTCTTCAGTTCCAAGGTCAATGATGCTTTCTTTGCTGGAGCGTCTATGATACCTGGCCAGTTGGTTCCCACACCCGCTTTTTTTAAATGTTGAGCCTCCAATCAGGATGATGGCCAAGCTATCTCTCCAGCCTAGATTTGAATTCTTCATTAGAATCTTAAGAGTTCTTGGTCACTTTGGGAACAGTGTACATACGGAATCCTGGCTGTGGCCTTGTCTCCCCTTTGTCTTTGACTCTCGTTTCTAGAAGGATGGGGTGGTTTTGTTTCTCTGGTTCTATACTCAGGTGCTTACATAAGAAAGCTGACCCTACAGATTCACTGTGGCCATGCACAACAGAGGCCTTTGGCTTCACTGACTTGGGAACAACCTGCTGGGCAGGCTGCTGCTTTCCTGAGGTTACCTTCCCCTTGGCCTGGATCTAGACATTGCCAGGGGCTTTATGTATTGCTTCTTCTGATGCTGTTCTTTATCTGTTGTCCTCCCTCCCTTTTCCCCTCTCTAATTCCATTAGTATGAAGCATTTGGATGAGGATAAAAGTAATCTCCCAGTCTCATCAGTGTCCACTGTCACCTAGAATTAAAATCTGTAGGCAGGTGAGTTTGGAAGCTTAGGTGAATTTGACCAGAGGAGGATTCAGCCATCTGAAGATGTCTTCAGCAAGTCATTTGTAGCACCTCGGGTAGCTTGAGGGGAGGGGGTAAGGCAAGCATTTAGACCCTTCACATTCTCTTTGGCACAAGGTTAGAAGCAGCCTATGTCCCTGAGAAAAAAGGAAACCCCTCTTTTCTGCTGGGCTCAGGCAATGTCAGATAGCACACCTTGCTATGTGCTTCAAACTGAGTTGTTAAGGAAAAGACAGTACAACACAAGGTTGAGTTGATGAACCCCAGGAGCTTTTGCAATGTGATACTTTACATATAACATACATTCAGCGACCTTGAGTCTGAGTTGGCCTTGAACAGTTCCTGTTAATATAGTCAATGTTTCCCAGATGAGTATGGCCAAGTGCTCCTCTGGGTCCATTTCTCCACGCCTGGACTGGCTTCCTTCTGCGAGACCCCTGGGGAAATATGCCTTTCTGTTCTATGATACTAGATGCCTTGCTAAAGACACCATGCTTGTGTTCTTCCCATGGATTTTACATTCTCAAATTCAAACCTCACACTTGGTCAGTCTGTCAACTTACCTCTCATTCTATAGTGACTGCAAATGAATAAGATAAGTGGAGGGCAGATTAATGAGACAAAGACACTGTATTTAAATACTTGACTTGCTTTAGGTGTTCATAGCTACAACCCTGCTTCCATGGGCCTGGTGGGAAAGAGATCTAATCAGAAGCTTAAGAGAGCCTGAAGCCATCTTGGTCATTCTCACGTTGGCTCTTTCTCTATGCTGGACATGTAATTCTCAGGGTCCCATTACAAATGAAAAAGGTCAGACTGTATGTGGAAAGAAGTTAAAGAAATACATTCAGTCACTTCAAGAATTTTCCCAAACTGGGCTGGGGAGCTAGCTCAGTGGTTTAAGTGTTTTTCCACATAATCGTGAAGACCTGAGTTTGATCCCCAGCACCTACATTAAAAAACAAAACAATGAAAACCCCACTATGCTTGCCAGCATGCTCCTATAAACTAAGAATGGGAAGGAGACAGGAAGATCCCTGGAGTTCACTGGCCAACTGTGCATGGGAATCAGTAGGTGAATATGTGAGAGGCCCTGTCACAAACAATATGTGGAGAGAGATAGAGGGAGATGCCCAGTATCAACTTTTGGTTCCCACATGCATATGCCAACACCCAAGACCATAAACATACGATGGGTGATCCTTTCCTTTGCTGATGGCCACTTGTATAACAGTTAGTTTAACAAATATTGCTGCAAGTGTGCTCCTGTTGTAAGCCGCATACTCGCACCAACCAAAATATCTACTCCTTGGCCATCTGACCATTTGACAACGATGTTAGGTAGTTGTATTTCTGTGGACTTTCCCAAAATGAAGCCTGCACCTCTCAATAGTTTGTATCCCCTTGCTCAGATTCTAAATTAAAACAAACTTGTTATGCCTGGTAGCAATTATTTCTCCTCTTGCATTTGATTTACTTTTTAATTAGACCAGATCTAGTCTAGGTAATGAAGCTTTTTCATTTAATGTAGATACTTAATTGTGCATGTTCTTGTTTCTACTATATTGGTAAAGATTGCTGAGGAGGTGAGCCAGCCCCCTCTTAATTAAAACAAACCTGCAGGGCCACACTTCTGATTTGTAGATTGAATGTTGGATGGTGTGGTTGCTGGCTTTGCTTAGGCTGTCCCTGGTGACTGACTGGGCCTTAGTTAGGAGACTTAATAATTTTCTTTCTTTCTTTCCTCCTCTTCCTCCTCCTCCTCCTCCTCCTCCTCCTCTTTTTTTTTTTTTTTTTTGCATGTAACTTTCTTCCCTGCTTTTCAACTAAACAATTAAGAGTTTAGACTTGTAAGAGGGCTATGATGAACAGAGCCACTGGGAATTTCAGCCATGTAATTGGTGAATGAAATGTGAAGGAGTGTGCATAATGAGTGGATTTGTTATAATTTTTAGAAAGTTTTTGTCTAGCACTTGTGTTTAGTATCAGCACACTCTGAACATTTTTTTAAAATGTCTTCTGACTCCTCTGCAAACTTTTCAGTGATTTCTAGACTCAGTACCACATTAGTGAAGATACTTATTTAAAATAACAGAAATCAATGCCAGGCATGGTGGCACATGCCTGGAATCCCAGCCCTCAGGATGATCCCTGCAAGTTGGAGGCCAGCCTGAACTACTTAGCAAGTTTCAGACAAGCCTATATTACATAGCAAGACCCTGTCTCAAGAAAGCAAGGAGGAGAGAGGGGAAAAGAAAGGAAAGAGGAAAGAAAAAGGGCTGGCAAGATGACACAGTGGGTGAAGACATGGCCCACAGAAGCTTGACAACCTGAATAAAAATCATCAGAACACACATCACACACACACACACACACACACACACACACACACACACACACACACACATTTTTAAGTTAAACAAAAGTAAAAATCGGAGACAAAAAGATCTTCATGTTTTCAGATGTATACAGATTATGTAATGCAACATCTACTCTGTTGATGGAGTTTTGGGGTAAGTGCCAGAGAGAGAGACAGAACCAGGCCCAGAATCATTAAGAGCTGGAAGCCAGAGGAGACTCAGGTCTCCAGTTTGAGTTTCATAAGCTTTATCTATATGGTAGATGTCCTTATGTCACCCCCGAGAACCCCAGGAAGGGACATTATATCAGAGTCTGAGGAAACTACCACACAACATCTAAGGATCTTGGGCTTGCTTCATGCTTTTCTTTGTTTAGACACTGATCATAGACAACATGCCATGGGGCTGGAAAAAGTTAAGAGCACCGTGGCTACTCTTGCAGAGGGACCTAGGTTCAGTTCCCAGTAACCTCATGACATCTGACAACCATCTGTAACTCCAGTTCCAACTGGCACTACATGCACACGGTGCACACACACACATACACATACACATACACAGATGCACACATGCACACACAAACAAACATTCATACAAAGTACAAATAAATCATTTTTTAATTTTAATTACTTTTTGAGATTATAATATATAATATAGTAACATTTCCATTTTCCCTTTTCTCCCTCCAAACCTTCCCATATACTCCTCCTTGTTCATTTTCAAATTTATGGCCTCTTTTTTTCACTAACGTGTGTGTGTGTGTGTGTGTGTGTGTGTGTGTGTGTGTGTATTCCTGAATATAACCTGTTCAGTCCATATAATGTTGTTTATTTATATGTATGTATGTATGTCTTTCATGGCTGACTGTTTGGTAAAGCTTTAAAAACAAAATGACAGCATCGTTCTTTAATTCAGTCAAGACTGGCATATATTCGAGGCTGCACCACTACAGAGAAGGCAAAAAGACACCACATTACTAATTCTTCCGTGATTTCTTAAGTCCACCTTGACTGCTCTTTAAATTTTATTTTTAATATTTATATGTTTACTTTTGTGCTCATGTGTGGGTGGGAGCAGAGACCAGAAGATGTCCATCTCTTGGAGTTGGGGTCACAGGATCTGGTCATCCACCTTGTTAAGTGCAGAGATCTGAACTCCAGACCTCATGATGGAGCAGTAAGTGCTCTTAACCATGGAGCCATCTCTGAGGCATTAGTTGTAGGGTAGTGTTTTAAATACTGAGTATGAACTGTTTCTAGAAAAGTGGGGAGAATATGGTGTAGAGCTAATGCTGCCGAGAGAGGCTGACACGACACATCTCAGTTTAAAGAAGTAGTAACTCCTAAGTCAGCAGCAACGCAAAACATTGTAGTCACAACTCCCTCCTTGACCCTTGAAAGCCCATGGAAAAATGTTAAGAGGTGTTGAGTAAAGGCCTCCCATATGCCTTTTGTGTTGGTGAAGATGAGAGTTACTGATAAACGAGACATAGGTCATATGTTATAGATGTGACTTGAATGACGGTAACACTAGCAGATGAGTGTAAAGTGTTTACTACCTGACTCTTTCAACATCTTAATGTGTTTGAAGTTGTTCATAATCAAATTATGAGAGGCTGATGACGTATAATAGCCTGGTGGGTTCTGTTCCCAGCATGGCAAAATTACAAAATACATAGACCTGAAGATTTAGCTCAGTTGGCAGTGCTTGCCTAGCACACACAATCTCCTCATATACACCTCTATCCCAGACTCTTAGAGGTGGAGGCAGGGGATCGGGGCCAAGGACATTCTCAGTTACATGATAAGTTTGAGGCCACAAGCAAATGGTTTTTCACAGTGTATTTGTTCTTGTTTTATGTGTATGGATGTTTTGCTTGTTTGTATATATGTGTATCCCAAGCGTGCATGGTAACTGAGGAGGGCTAGAAGACATTAGGTCCCCTGGAACTTGAATTACAGGTGGTTGTGAGGTGCCATACAGGTGCTGGGGATTGAACCCCAGTCTTTTGCAAAAGTAGAAAATGCCTGAACTGCTGAGCCATCTCTCCAGTTCCAAGTAATCTCAAAAATAGAAAAGGCCTGGGGTATCACATTTCAGAATGTATGAAAACACCAGTGACTTCTCAGAGGAAACAAGACATCCCAGAATATGCTTCTTCATGTTTAAAAATACACCCACAAAGAAAAAACAGATACATTATTATTCATAGATACAGGGAGGCATAAGAGTATGCTAAAAATGTTTGTGAGAAATAACTCCAAGAAAGTAGCTACTAGAGAGACATCAAGAAGGAACCAGGCTTGATGGCATATGCCTGCAAACTCAGGGCTCAGAAAGTTGAGGCAGGAAGATTAGAAGTTCAAGGTCATCCTTGGCTACCTAGTGACAGCAAGACTATCTTGGGCTAGATGAGACCCTGTCTTAAAAAGAAGAGATGGTTCAGTGGGTAAGGATGCTTGTTGCACAAGCACATGGACCTGAGTTCAAATCCCCAGAAACCACGTGACTATCTGAGACAGGAGGCTACCTACAGGCTGGCAGTCTAGCTCCAGGTTTATTTACAGACACTGTTATTCAAGGAATAGGACAGAGTGACAGAACAGGACACACCTGTGCATGTGCCACACAGCTGCATATACAAACACGCAATAAATCAAATGTGGTACTGTTAACATGGACTTCTTCATCTCAGGTTCTTAGTTATGGTTTCTATTGCTATGAAGAGACACAATGACCATGACAGCTCTTAAAAAGAAATACATTTAATTGGGTGGCTTACAGTTTCAGGGGTCTAGTTTATTATCATCATGGCAGGACATGGCAGCGTGCAGGCAGACATGGTGCTGGAGAAGTGTCTGAGAGTCCTGCACCTTGATCCAAAGGCAATAGGAGTCTGTGTCCCAGTGGCCAGACTTGACCTTATAAGACCTCAAAGACTCCACAGTGACACACTTCCTCCAGCAAGGCCACACCTCCTAATATTACCACTCCCTATGGGCAAAGCATTCAAACACATGAGTCTATGGAGGTCGTACCACTCAGGCATGTAAATTATGGAGAATAAACTTTTTTCTGATCTGAAGTATTTCCCAATCAGCATCACATTTCAAAAGATAGTTACCGTAGTCTGGCTTTGAGATGGAAACATGGCCTGCACATAAAATGTGGAGACAGAGCAGATGGTAAAAGTGAAATTACTAGGTGTTCACACCAGGCCAAAAGGTTCTGTGCATCTGTGTGAAGATAGTCCATCGGTGGAGGGTGGGCAGCTGGAAACAGGTAGAGGAAGGTGCTGTTTCACCATTACTGGCACCTCTGTTCCCTGTGTGGTTGTTCCAGTCAAGTATTTACTGAGAGAACAAAGCAATCCCAGACAGGAATCTGGATTCTGAAAGAATTCAGAGTGGACTTGGAAAATTTCTCCCACAAACTCTAGATAATTCTACTGTCAACAAGCAAAGCTCTCGGCACAGTAGGAGGCCCGGAATCAGTTTTTAAGCTGGCGCCAGTTCAAACAGTATTTCCCCTTCCCAAGCTGGTGTGCTTTTGTGGAATCTTTGGCTAGAGCCTGTATTTTCAAACAAACCATGAAGCAGGCCTTTCAACCTGGGCTTTTCTTCAACTGTGTCTTGCCCCTTGCACCTCACCATCTCTATCCCACTGCATTAAAAGTAAAATGGAATAAGCACTTGTCTGCAAGAGTGCTTCCTTGTTGCTTCTGCCTATTTGTGGATCACAGCCCAGAGCTTTCCTGCCAGGGTGGTTAAATGAGGACTGGTGCCACTTTAGTCTGTCCCTTGGCCAGCTTTGTAAGGGCCCTGCTTACTTGCCTCATGATGTCCAAACTCAAGAATACAGCAAATCAGCAAGAACTGGGTTAATGCAGCCCCAAGCTGGTTCTGAGTTCCAGGGCAGTGGCCTGGGCTGGCATTAAAGGGTGTTTTGACTAGTTTGGGAATCACAGAACCACTGTAACATAAAGAGAGTAACATAAATCTTCAAACCCAGTGCCTTTGCTTCTTCCAGGCTGCCATGATTAGTGGGTCCCTTCTCCACTTCAGGGATTGCTCATGTACTAGACTTAACTAGAGGGGTCTTTAGGGTGTCGTGGGGCCATTAAAGTCATGTAGACAGGACCTCAGGATACAGTCAGGGCCCCTATAACGATGAAGTATTCAATTGGTATACTCAATACCTGGGTGGGGACTCAGTGTCCTTCTCTGCAGGGTGTGACCCTTTCCAGATGACTGAACATAGAATCACCTCGATGTCACATTCCCTGGGCTGCAGTACTATGAGGCACGAGTTTCTGCTCTTTATAAATGTCTCGGGCTATGATGTTGCAGATGAGTCCATGTATCTTTTTCACCCTCATCTTAAGACCATCCAGGCAATCCCAACTCACCCAGGACTTCCTTCAAGCTGTGATCTTGCCTCAAGCCACCAGTGCTTACCTAGGACTCTCAGTCACACAGACATTTTGATCTTGGAGTCTGGAGTCAAGTCAGAGTCTTCTGGTTTGTAATTTGAACTACCTGCCCACTGCTTGTGGTTTCTCTGTCTCCCTCACAACTAGGTTTGCTGATACAGGCCACTGAGCTCTCCACTGAGCCACTTAGCAGGTCCCGGTGAGGCTGAAAGTTGAGGTTTCTAGCCAGTTCCTAGCTGGTGCTGATGCTGCTGATCCAGGGACCACACTCAGAGAAGTGTCTAGGATACCCACCAGAGATGCTATTGTTATTATCTGGTGACATAAAGACTGAAGTGAAAACAAAGCTGGTTTTCTAATGTCCTTTTGATGGTACTGCTGCATTCCTGCCACTTCCCACTCCTGTAGCCTCTGCTTGGTGGACACTTCAAATCCCTTTATGTTCCTTTTTAGCCCTTGCTCTTCATGAATTGGCCGGTTAATGTAGGCTATAACAACTCTGTTTGGTCTTGAGGAGATAGAACCAGTCTGGAGGTGCCTACTGCCCCTTTGGTGGCAATCCTAGGACATTTGGGGACAGTTGACATTTTCCCCAGCACTAGCAGTTTCTCTGTGGCTTCTCCATGTATTGTCATACCAGGAGACAGTTTTGGGACTCTTCCATTTGAATTGGCTAGTTCAGGCAGCTCCAGTTTTACATAAGAAAATGGGGTTTCAGTGTGTGTACAACAAAATAGTGATCAGCCTTTTAAGAGAGCCTGCCCATTTGATAACGTGGATGACTCTGAAGACATGCAGATGAAATAAGCAAGACAGAGAAAACAGGGAAATGGAACTCATTGACAGAATACCTGCCTATCATGTGCAAGGCCTGGATTTGTTCCTCAGATGCAGGGGAGTGGAGAACCAGAGGGAGAGGAAGAAAGCAGAGATAGCAGGACAATGGATTCCAGGGTGGGTGTGGAGAAGATGAAGAGATGATGGAAGTCAATTAGCATTTTCAGTTCTGTGGACAAATGACTAAAGAACAAATGTCTCTTACAAGGACCCTAGTTAATACTGTCTACTGGAAATTTGCTAAGAAAGATTTTATATACTTTATCCCTGACATACACTAACATTGTAAGGTGACAGATATACTAATTTACTTGACTGTGGTAATCCTTTCAATATGTCTGTGTCTATCAAAAATATTATAAACCTTCAAATATAAACAATAAAGGTAAGTTTATTGCAAGTTATCCATAAAAGGAAAGATTTGGAGTTTTAGTGAACATCTGGGTTTGAGACCAGATCTGGTTTTCTTCCCAATCACTCTTCTCTGATGTCAGCGGCTTCTAGGCATTTTAAAAAAGAAATCACCTGACACTGTGTCACCCTTACTGTGTGATTGGGTGGTTCCCTTCCCTTTCCTCCTCCCTGCAGGCTTTGAAATTCTGATCTCATAGGGTGCCTCGAGATTAAAGGGTAACTTGAAGGTGCCAAGTGTGCAGTGGCTCAGTCAATGTCTCTGGAACCCATAGAAGAGTAAATTGGGACTGGCACTGTGACCTTGGGTGACTCATTCACAGTGGGATCCTTTCCTCCTAGGGCTTTGATCAGAAAGTCTCTCCCTAAACCAAGCAAAAGTAGAAGAGAACAGACACCTCTACACATGTGCTGCCCATACACAAGTAATGTGCATGCACACACAATCATAGCAACATGCTAAATGATAGTACATTTAAATATTACAGTCAACATGCTAAGTGATAATACATTTAAATATTACATTTAGATTACAGTAAATATTTGTGGTTGATATTTCTTTTGTTCATCTCCTATTAAGTTTTATCTCACTAGGGATGTATGGTCAAAGGACTATTTTCCAAAAATTACTTAGACTCATTATTTTTCTTGTAGCAGTAGTGTCAACACAACATACTTTTTAAAAAGTTTGTGCCAGTGTGCTTTAGATTTTTAGCTATTTCTTTGCAATTTTGTGTGTTCCACAATGAAAAACCCTAACACAAGATATGTTGAGTAATTGGTTTCATCCGGTCCATTCTTGTCTTCTTCCTTCTTCCTGGGGAAAACAGTTTTCATTATTTTTTGAGATAAAATGTTTTTACAGTAAAAATGCTCTCTTCCCTGCTGTAGCTGTGTGTGTTGGCAGCATGTGTCTTTTTCACTTGACGGTGCATGCTGGGCCTTCCTCCTTTAAATATATCAGTTGCCCACCCCCCTTGGGTGGAATGCTGCCTCTTCATATTGTGTCATGTATTGTTAGGAGTGTTGGTGACTTAACTGAGTTTTAACTAACAGTTTTTCCCCCCACTCCCCCCTGCCACAGAGTGTGATAAATGCTGTCTCTCCCCTCCCCCTCTCTTTCTCAGTCTAAAGGAATTCTTACCAAAAGAATACATCAAGCAGAGAGGAGCTGAGAAGCGGATATTTCAGGTATTTGAAATGTAGAGAAATGTGTTCTTCTCCTTACCCTTTGTCTTCATTCATTCTCATGAGGCACATCCCACACATGATAGTTCAGTGCCCCATGCGTGTATTCTCATATAATGAATGACTGGTGAGTCAAGAGGATAGAGGCTGACAGCTCTACTTTGGACAGATTTATTATCTTAATTCATACTTTCTTGCTAAAGGTTACTTAGTTCTTCTGAGAAAAGCGTACATGCATTTAATTTCAAAGGCATTATCCTGGTAACATTGAAACAAGGTGATGGGCCATTAAGCTGCGCTGGGAAAGACACAAAGAACTCCTTTGTCCTGAGATTTGCTTTTTGAAGCTAGATTTGGGGAACTTGGGCCTTTCGAAAATCTTGGATTATTTTTAAAGTCAGTGACTTGTCCATCCTAGACAGTCAACAAATTCTCAAACTTCTTTGATTTTGAAATGGACATAGAAACTAAAATATAAATTGTGTGTATATAAAACATTTTTATTCAATATAATTTCCAAATACAAATAATGTTCAGACATATATATGCCTTGCTCCATGGAAAAGATAGATTCTGAATAGATGTTGGAAGACACCTACCTGTCCTGAGGGGGACATCTTTCTTGCTATCACTTAAAATATGAACCCTGGACCATTTGGGATATTGGGACCTTTGAGGATCCAATTGACTCGTGGCAGTTACTCCTGCCATGCTGGATATGGGCATGGAACCTTGCACTCTGCTGTAACCTACTTGGGCAGCTCTGACTTGAACTTCCCATAGGCTCTATCCTCGGTCAGCAGACACCTGTATCATATAAGGGCAGGAGAGATCTGATGCAGAAATGTCACTCACTCCCGGTCCCTGTACACTTCATCTGTAGGGACCTTCTCACTAAGTCCAGCCAATGGCAGGCTACAGTAACAGATCCTCATCCCCACACCCACTGTTGCTTTTGCAGGAACATAAAAACTGTGGAGAGATGAGTGAAATAGAAGCCAAGGTCAAGTATGTCAAACTCGCCCGGTCCCTCCGAACATATGGAGTGTCCTTTTTCCTGGTAAAGGTGAGTGGCCAGGGTGGGAGTGTTTACCTGGGTCTTCCTAGTCCCTTTCAGTAAAGCAGCAACTTGGTTAGAACCCTAGCATCATTTAGCCTCTAGCCAATCATGAGCCAAATCTAACCATAGCACCAGGCTAGTGAGTGTGAGCCCTGCTGCTCCAGAGAGCCTCCAGACAGCTCTGCAGTCTTGATGCTTCTGTTCTGACATTCCTGGAAGTCAATGGATTCAAAGCCCTAAAATCCTCTAGAATAAGTGATCATGGTTGACCACTGACAACCAAATTGAATTCATGTCATATATGTCATCCTTAATTTGTCTCAGTCCTGAAACTGTCCCTTTGTTAAAAAGAACTGAACTCTTCTCAGTATCTTTTGAGGACCTGAGGGTCATAGAGTGCTTTGTTTGTTCTCTCCCATTTGCTACACATGTTCTGACAACACTGTGGCCTTCTCTCTTATGAGGAAACTGGGTCTGTCTGTCTGACTGCCTGCCTGTCTACCTACCTACCTACCTATCTTGAGACAGAGTCTCATTATGCAGCCCTGGCTGACCTTGAATTTGAAGAGGACTGTCTGTCTCCTGAATACTAGGCCACCACCTAGTGTTTTTGTTTGGTTTGCTTTGCTTTGGTATTTTTCAAGGAAGGGTTTCTCTGTGTGGCTCTAGCTGTCCTGGAACTCACTCTATAGACCAGGGTGTCCCCAAACTCAGAGATTCACCTGCCTCTGCCTCCTGAGTGCTGGGTTTAAAGGCGTGCACCACCACACAGAACCCAAAGATGTTTCTGAGCTTAGACATTTGTTCCCATTGTGACTTTACCATGTGTCCGCATCTTCCTTAAACAAAATGTCTTAGGGTTTTTATTGCCGTAAAAAGACACCATGAGCAGCTTGGCGGTGGTGGCCCATGCCTTTAATCCCAGCACTTGGGAGGCAGAGGCAGGTGAATCTCTGTGAGTTTGAGACCAGCCTGGTCTACAAGAGCTAGTTCCAGGACAGCCTCCACAGCCACAGAGTAACCCTGTCTCGAAAAACCAAAAAAAGACACCATGACCATAGTAACTCTTACAAAGAAAACGTTTAATTGAGGTGGTGGCTTACAGTTTCAAAGGTTCAGTCCATTATCATCATGATGAGGAGTATGGTGGCGTGCAGGCAAACATGGAGCTGGTTATATCTTGACCAGAAGGCAGCAGGAAATCAATGGACTGTCACACTGAATGAAGCTTGAAAGGGGGACCTCAGAGCTCACCCCCTCAGTGACACACATCCTCTAAGACCACACCTACTCCAACAAGGCCATATCTCCTAATAGTGTCACTCCCTTTGGGGGCCATTTTCTTTTAAACCATCACACAAATAGTCTCTTCATTAACAAAGGGAAAATATGATGACAGTAATCTTGTGGAGTCTGAGGTCTGTGGATGACGCTCATTTTAGTGAGCATCAGGCCTGCTTTAAGTACAAGCACAGGTGCCCAATGTCAGGTGTGCATACACACACCCCAAACATGCATTCTACAGGAATGTGAATATACACACATTCTTTACCGATGGCAGCTGTGTAGGTGTATGTATTTCAGCACATACCACTGAAGTTTTTCTTCTGATAGTACTATAAGTTCAGCAATAGTAAATTAATTTTAGCAATAAGGAAAATAGTGCAGATCACAAGAGACACTCAAGACCACCATCTTTTCCTGTAACGTATACAGACCTCTTAAAATTTTTATTTGATGAGCCAGATATAGTAACTTTAATCCCAACACTTGGGAAAGGAAGGAAGATCCTGAGTTTCAGGTCATTCCTGGCTGTATAGTGTGATCAAGGCTACCCTGTTTTCTGACTCTCTCTACTTTTATGTGGTTGTTGTAGGATCATGTATCCTGTACTTCCTGTTTTATATATTATGAGTAATTCACTCCCATAAAGTCAGTTGTTTTTCTACAAAGTTTTATTTTATTTTATCTTAGTGTGTGTGTGTGTGTGTTGGTCTGTACATGCATGCAGATGTTAACGTCGTGCCTGTGGAGACCAGAGACATTGGATTCCCTGGAGCTGAAGTCACAGGTGGTTGTGAGCCATTTGAGCTGGGTTCTGAGAGGCAAACCCAAGCCTTGTGCAAGAGTAGTGTGTGCTCTTTACTGCTGAGCCATCTCTACAGCCTTGGCTGTACCATTTTTAGCTTCTGTTAATTATGATTCCTTTCATAATTCTTCAGTTCTGAGAACATTTTAGAACCTGTTTGATATAAATGAAATTTTATTTGCTGAATTTTTATTATTACAAATATTTCCTACATCATTTTGGCCAGGAGTTTTTTGTTTTGTTTGTTTGTTTGTTTTTTTACTGATTTACAAAAATACTTCACAGATAGTATATAAGGTTTTGACTGGCATATGTGGTGCAAGTGTTTATTCTCCAGCCCTTCACTTCTTAATCTTTCTTACCATGAGACTTCCTTATCCCTCTGTCCCTCTATCTTTGTGTCTCCCCTATCCTGTGTGCTTGTGCTCTCCCTCCCCTCCCTCTTTCCCTCCTTCTCTCATCCTCCCTCCATCCAACCCATCTGTGTGTTGTTGTTAGAACTCTTTCTCTTTTCCTTTATTCTTATTTCAATGTTTTTACTGCAACAACACTTCTTAACCCAGAAGTCTCAAAAGATACCCACTAGCCAGGTGCATGCCTTTAATCCCAGCACTCCTTTAATCCCAGCACTCCTTTAATCCCAGCACTCGGGAGGCAGAGGCAGGTGGATCTCTGTGAGTTTGAGACTAGCCTGGTCTACAGAGTGAGTTCCAGAACAGCAAGGACTGTTTCACAGAGAAACCCTATCTCAAAACTCAAAACAAAGCCCACCCGTGTTCTTCCTAAATCATTAACAAATGATTTAGCATAAGTGTGAAGGAAGAATCAGTCATTTTAATAGATAACATACTTTTAAAAACTAATAAATTAATCATTAATGTTGTTTTAGAACCACCTGTAACCCCAGCTCTTAGAAGGCTGATACAGGATGATTCCCATGAGTTACAGCCCAACATGGGCCCTATATGAATGAGACAAAATTGGGGATAGGGTGGGAGAGATATGTTTATTGTGCATTATATACCTGTATGAAAATTATACAGCACTGCAGCATGTACAATGAATATACATAATGACAAATCTTCAAATGCTAAATAATGCCCTAAAAACAACACCACAAAGAACCAAGACCCGTAACTGTACAAAAGCAAGGACTAGAATGCAAATGGATTGCAGAGATGTTTTTGAAAGGGGAAAGATCTATACCTCCTTAAAATAAGAAGATCCTAATTGGGCCATGTGGGTTCACTTTCAGGGTTTGAATTCTACACTGCCCCTCTTTGGTTTTTCACCCACCCAGACGCTTCTGGGATGGTAATAACTTGGGTTTCACCTCCCAATCTCTTTAGTCCCTTCTTTCTGGCACAGTTTTGTTGCAACCCCTTCTGCTGAATAGTGCTCCTTTCCAGGAAGCAGCACACGTTGATGCATCTATCCAGTGTCCTGGTGTCCTCCTGCCCCATCCCTTTGTCTTCGTGAGTTATTCACTTGGCTTTTATAACTGCCATACCTAGTTTGTTAACAGACTGCAGGTAAAACACACTAAAAACAATGTATTCCAGAAAGGCTGATGGCCTTTGGCCTCCCTCATTCCAGGAAAAAATGAAAGGCAAGAACAAGCTGGTTCCCCGCCTCCTGGGCATCACCAAGGATTCCGTCATGCGGGTGGATGAGAAGACCAAGGAGGTGCTCCAGGAGTGGCCACTCACCACAGTCAAGCGCTGGGCAGCTTCACCGAAGAGCTTTACACTGGTAGGGACAGCGCAACACTGAATTTACCATTATGGTCCTGGGTAGTATTGGAGGGGAGCCTGTGGGTATGGTTGGTCTTAAAGGGCTAGCATAGTGGGGAAAGGTGGTACAGTATATGGGCATAGAGGGCACTGGAATTCTCTGTGCACCATTTCTCCCATGTATCCAAGTCCTCTTGGCATTCATTGAGTGGAAAGTGGTGCTCGCCAGGAGGATGCTCAACTGTGTGCTCTTGATGTTATCACTTGTGTATCCTGAAAGGGAACTTGTAACATTAAGACTCATGTGTGAGTCCTCCTCACAATTGTGCTACTGTGCTGGGGATCCCAGGCTGCCTAGAAAGAATACAGACTATATGTACATATTGTAGAAATCTGGGATAATACTAAAACTCTACCATTGTCACTTCCTAGCTCCATAATCTTGTTGAAGCTACCTCTTCTCTCTGAGCCCTTATTTCTCCAGCTTAAAGTGAGATAGGAGTAACTGCTTCAGTTTCTAGCATTGGGCGAGATGATAAAACAGTATAAAAGTCATATTCCAGGGTTTCTGACCTCTACCTCAAAAATTGGTGTTAACAGAATATAACTATGAAGCCATCTAGGGACACATTTATGTGTGAATCTGAAAATGCAAGTAGTTTGCCAAGCAAGTTGAGCAAGAAGAAAAATAAAAAAGTACTGGAAGTTGTTAACTACAGACCGAAGTCTTTGGAAGCTGTATGTCCATGTATACATTGTAAGATAAAACACTTTAAAAAGTATGAAAGAGTTTAGAAGGAATGATTGGTTTCTGTTCTTGTTTCATTTCTGTTGCTGTGATAAAATAACCTTGACTAAAAGCAACTTCAGTTCATTGTTGCAGACAAATCAAGGGAGGAACTTAAAGCAAGATACCCAGGGGCAAGAGCAGATAGAGAATAAATACATAGAATCTTGCTTACTTGCTTTTTCCTCTCTTGTACTGTTCAGGACCTCCCACCCCACACACCTAGAGAATGGTACTTCCCACAGTGGGTTGTGTCTTCATATACCAATTAACAAACAAGACAGTTCCCCACAGGCCATTTCAATCTTGGTAATTTCCCAGGTGAAGCTCTGTTCTCAGGTGATTCTGTCTTGTGTCAAGTTGGCAGTTAAAAAATATCTGAGGCTAGAGAGGCTTGCAGAGGACCCAGGTTCAATTCCCATCACCCACATGATAGTTCACAACCATGTGTCACTACAGTTCTGGAAGATCTAGTTCTCTTTTCTGACCTCTGTGGGCACAGAACACTCACATGGTGCACATACACTCATGCAGGCAAATCACTCATAAAATAAAATGAATAAATCTTGAAAGAATGTTTAAGATGATAAATAAAAATAAAAGAAACTATCATAGTTGTATAATTTGATAGGTTGATAGGCCCAGGAGAGTTGATAGGAACCCTTAGAATCTGTAACTTATGTAGTCAGCTGTAGCTGGATGGGCCTACACAACCCCCAAAACATGGGTGTTCATTCTCAGAGAGCTGTGTCCTCTCCTTTCATTGTGGGAAGTCATGCAGTATTTCTAGATTTTAAAATTGGTATACATATAAGCATGATATTTGGGCATTACTAGAAGTAATTGCTTTAAGACTTTGAAATGGTACCATTGGGAAAAGCATTTTAAATTGCAACATCTGCGATCATTAGCTTGGTTAAGTGCAAGAAAAATCTGAGACTCTGTAAGTAGCATCTACTCCAGTGTAGAAAGCTTTCAAATCTTTAATATAATAGTGATTTTTTTCTATTGTTGTATCAATAAAGATAATTTACATATATTAAAATAAACAAAAAACAGGCAAGAATAGTTAAGTTGGAGACAATTGTCTTTGTTACATCTCTTTTAAGACTGTCGGTCTTTCCAAAGTAGTTCTAAGTACTTAAAAAACAAAATTTTATTTAAAAAACCAGATATATTTGTAACAAGCTATTTAATGGCCTCACTCAAAAGAGAGAATGTATACTGATATTTCACCAAGGTATAAAGTTAGGTAACGGTTTCCCATAAGGAGCTTTTATTACGGTCCCAGCTTTTGATGCTTTCCTGCTGACTCTCTGTGATTGATTTCTGCTTTGGTTCTCTCGTGGTGGTCAGTTGTTTGGAGACCTCCCTGTTGTCTTTCTATTATTGATTTTCAGTTGGATTCCATTATGGTCAGAGAACATGCTGAAAAGGATTTCATGGTTTTGATTTGTTTTGTTTTGTTTTTTCCCTTTTAGATGTTATTTATTTTATGTGTATGAATATTTGCCTGTTGTGGAATATTAACTATATAAAGATGTGTTACATTTGTTTTTATTGCAGAATTTTGCTTTAACTGTGTGAAGGTGTGTTACTTTTGTTTATGCTGTCTTTGTTCATGATGAAAAGATGTGCTGCGTTTGTATAATTATGTAAAGATGTGTTGCGCTTTCACCTTGCCTGCCTAAGGCACCTGATTGGTCTAATAAAAAGCTGAATGGCCAATGGCTAGACAGTAAGGGGATAGGCAGAACTTGTGGGCAGTGAGAATAAGTAGGAGGAAGAATCTAGGCTCGAGAAAGAAAGAGGGAGAAAGAGAAGGAGACACCTCAGGGGCCAGCCAGCCAGGAAGGCAGCCACCAGACAGACAGACACAGAGTAGGATATACAGAATGAAAGAAAGGTAAAACCCGCAAGGCAAAACAGAGATGAAGAGAAACAGGTTAACTTAAATTATAAGAACTAGTGGGGCAAGCATAAGATAAAGCTGAGCATTCATAATTAACAACAAGACTCCATCATGATTTGGGAGCTGGTTAGTAGCCCAAAAGAAACATTGCTACATTTGCTAGCATATGATTGTGTACCTCACATGGTGCTCATGGTGGCCAGAAGAGGACACTAAATGCCTTGGGGTTACAGATGGCTGTCAAGTTCCATGTGGCTACTGGGAACCCAACCCAGATTCTCTGCAAGAGCAGCAAGTGCTCTTGACCACTGAGGCATCTCTCCAGCTCTTATCTGTGTTTATTTGTTTGTTTTAAGACAGGTATTCACTCTATAGTTTTGGGTGGGCAGGAATTCAGTATTAGACCAGAGTCACAGCCTCTCCCTCCCAAGTGCTGGGACTTGCTGTGTGCCACCCTGTCTGGCTCTCCTTATCTTTTTGATACACTCGGGGTCTGATGGTTTTCTCTGAGCGCAAAAGGCACTTGTCTGCATTGCTCACTATCGCTTGTTGACCTTGACAGGAAGAAGCAGAAGCCACTACTAGGCCTGTGTGTGACACTAAGTGGATAGTGGGGCCACACAGAAGTTCACTGTGTTCACTGTTGAAATAAAGTGGACCATCTCACGTGGCTGGCATGTCTGGGGCCCATTGCTTTTCAGCTGTTAGTGCACTCAGCCCTTGTCGGGCTGCATCTCCTATCTAGCACTCTGTGGGCTTCACTCTCCTTGTCCTCTGGAAAGAGTGGCTTTGCAAGACTGGCTACTACAAGTTGAGATATACAGATCTCTCTAGGTCTCTGCCTGGGGATGTGGGTATGCAAAAGAAAGCCATAGAGCTTACCACAATAGACTCCCTTAAGTCTTAAGGCTCCAGTCCTGTTTGTCTACCTTTACAATTTCCAGAGTCCCCTCCCCCTTTTTATTTTGACATTTACATAGGTGAGAGTCACATGGAGGTAAGAAGACAACCTGCTAAAGTCAATTCTTTCCTTCCACTGTGTGTGTTCTAGTGATTGAATTCAGGTACTGAGGCTTGGCAAGCCCCAGCTGTTTTGTTTTGTTTTGATACCCACTGTTGAATAAGTTTTAGAATTCAGTTTTTCTTTTGGAGAACAGTGAAAAGTAAGCCATGTCACAGAACTTTATGGCTGCTCTCTGAGGCCTCAAGATGCCTGGTAGATCTAATGCAGCTGTTTTTCTCCTAATGCTGATCTTCTAGGATTTTGGGGAGTACCAGGAAAGCTACTATTCAGTGCAAACCACAGAGGGGGAGCAAATATCCCAGCTGATTGCAGGGTACATTGACATCATCCTCAAAAAGGTATGTTGTGTTGACGAAAATCATGGATGGAACCATGTTAAGTGGAATCCTTATTTGAAATGTTTGATTGACAGATTATGTCTTCAACATTAAGATTGCTTGTGTGAGAGATCTCTGACCATAAATCTACTGAGCATGTCTGATTTTGCCCTAGTGCATATGTGTATTTGTTACTGCTAGATAAGGAGTAGTGGTCAGGGTTCTAGTTTGATTTCTGTTGCTGTGATGAAACACTCTGACCAAAAGCAACTTAAGGGTGGAAAGGGTTTGTCTGGCTTCCACTTTCTTGTCATAGACTATCCTAGAGGAAAGTATTGGTAGCAACCCTAGTAGGAACTTGAAATTCGATCCACTTGCTATCCTACATATACAGCATACCATTGAACCAGGAGCTCCCAGCCAAGGAAATAGAGTAGGAATCACAGAGGGATGCTGCTTGATGGTGGTGCAGGCTCATGCTCTGCCAGCTTCCTTATACAGACCAGGAAACGGTGCCACCCAAAATTGGTTGGGCCCTCCATCAATTACAACATTCTCCTACAGACATACCCACAGGTCAAATTGTTGTAGGGAATTCCTCGTTGTGTCAAGTTGATAGTAAAGCTAGCTGGGACTGTCTGTACTAGTCCCTCACTCTTCCCCTCTAAATAGCTTTTTTGTTTTCCTGACTTTGTAGAAACAAAAAGTATTCATTGTAGTTTTCATGAGTTTTCGTTCTTACCAAACAATGACACCATGTGCCATTGTAGTACATAGGAAATCAGATGTTTTTAAGGCTTCCCAATACAACCCATTCAAGCAGCCATATTCTAATAGAATGTTATCAAGTGTGCCTTACTTCTTTCTGTGTAGGCAATGATTCAAGGCTTAATATATTTATATATCAAGTCATGGGTTTCTGCTTTATTGACATAAAGCTTTTATTCTTCACTCATTAACTATCCAGTACACAGAATTTGTCGTAAACTTGAGTATTTTGTTTGTGTCCCTTCAAAAGCTCTTTTCAGTGGTCCTGTGTTAAGATTTGCTGATGTTCCTTGTGTCTGTTTTGCTTCCAGAAACAAAGCAAAGATAGATTTGGGCTGGAAGGGGATGAGGAGTCAACCATGTTAGAAGAGTCAGTTTCCCCAAAAAAGTAAGTATCCAGGGTACCCAGGACCCTCCTCCTCCTGGGTGAGGTGGTGATGGGATAGGCTTTTCAGTTATGGTCCCTAAATGAGCAATGTGTCATGCAGCTTTCCTGTGTGGGCACTGAGTATTTCATGGGGACACCTGATGCAGGGCATGGTGTCCACATCTATTGTGAGAAGCAGTTGGTTTTCCTGGGTTCTGTTCTGCATTTCCAATATAAATGTCATGGATTGGATTCCTCCCTCAAAATCTATAACTTGACTTCTATTTGATTCTGTTCTGGGATCTCAGAGACTGGCCAATGTCCATAAAACACTAATGACAGGCTACACTACTCTCACAGGCTGTGAGACAGCAAAGAGACAGGGTATAAATTCACTCTTGGAGCTGGAGAGATGGCTCAGCAGTTTAGAGCCCTGGCTACTTTTCCAGAGGAACCAGGTTCAATTCCCAGCAACGACATGGCAACTTTACAACTGCCTGTAACCCCAATTCTAGGAGAATCTGTCACCTAGCTTCCACGGTCACTGTGTGCAAGTGTACACTGACATACATGCAGGCAGCACACTCGTACATATAATATAATACAAACAATTTTTTTAAGAAAAAGAAAATATAACCTACTGATAGAAACCATGCTCAGAGCAGATCTGGGGTCTGTTCTTTGCCTTGATTTTTCTACCTTTAGTAGTCCTCCTATAAATCAGGAATAATAATAGTACCACTTTGTGATATTTGGTTTTGATGATGGAATCGCAAATAATGTACACAAAACATTGACACATTTTGTTTGCTATTGTAAAGATTGTTGTTATTTTGAATTCAAAACTTTGTGAAGTGTTTTTCTAGTTACTCTTTATCAATAAAAGCTCATCAGGTTAAGAACCTGAATGATCAGAAAAGCAGCTGAGAATCAACCCGTGACCTCCTCTCTTGTTCCTTCATCCAAAAAGACTGAGATCCTCTCTAAGCCCTGTCTGACTACTTCCTGTATCTCTCTATTTGTCCTCAGTCCTCCAAAACCTCATGGCTAATTTTGGTCAGCCAGTAGCTAGCTCTGCCCTTTGATTCAAAGCAAATTTTATTGGCAAGCTTGGGAACATCAGAATGCGGTCAACACCTTAGAGCTGGAAAAATAGTTCAGCTGTTAATGCTCCTCTCACAGAGGACCAGAGTTTGGTTCCCAGCACCCACATTGGGCTGCTCACAACCACACAGAACTCCATATCCAGGGAATTTGAATCCCTCTTTTGCACACACACACACACACACACACACACACACACACACACACACACACACCTAATTAAAAAGCATTATGTGATTAAGAATTCTTAGCTCAATTTATTAATGAGGAAATAGATTTAATAAAAATAAGAAGTATCTAATAAGTGATACTAGCTGAGGAAACCATACAGCAGACACCTTCATGTTACACAAATCTTTTTGTTGACTGCCTTCGTCTTCATTTTTATTCATTTTTATTCTGTGTGTCCGGCATTCTGTCTCATTTGATTTCAACACAGTTTCTTATGTAAGAGAAAGGCAGCTGTTGCCACCCAAAATGTATTTCCTATGTAAGTACACAGGTTGGCTAGACTGGCCATGGCATATTTCAAGGCTATCATATGATTTGGTAGCCTTGTCTTCTGAGTCCTTGGAATGAGTAATGTCACCAGGTGGTAATATTGAGTGAGTGCTTCCCACCAGAGTGAGAGGTGTTTGTTTGTCAGCATCTATAGCACTTGTATATCCCATCAGAAGAGTCCTATAAGTATGGGGGTACAGAGTGCAGGGCCACACCTGTCTGAGACTTCCTTTACTAGTTGTGTATCATCATGGACTTAAGTCAAGATGAGCAGGAAGAATGGTCCAGGTGCTCTGATCTTTATATCTTCTGCATCTTCGCACATGGTTGTTGGCTGAGATACAAGAAAGCAGCCTCCAGACCTCATCTCCCTGGTGTCATCTATTCTAGGCTCATTTAAAAGAATGTTTTATATTTACTCTTTACAATTTTGAACAGATATAGTCTTTACTTTGATCAGATCCACCCCATATTACCTTCTTGCCCCACTTTTCCACTCCCTCTGACTCCTTTCCTCAATGGCTCTCCCTCCTACTCTTGGGTATTTGTTTAGTGACCTAAGTTTGATTAGGGTTGCTTACGTGGGGAACATGGAGAACTTGCTAGTGTCTACATGACCAAAGAAAAATGATCCCTTCCCAAGCAAAAGTCAACTCCCAGGGACTCCTCTGCTAGTGGTGGGGCTCCCACGTCCCACAGAATGCTGACAGGCTCGTTCTTGTGCAGCTATTGTGCTTATGAGAGCAACAACCATGTCATATCTAGTAGATAGCATTTTGCTGCACTCCTCCGGTCTACTAGCTCTTTTGCATTCATTTCTTTCTTTGGTTGGTTGGGTTTTTTTGTTTGTTTGTTTTTCAAGACAGGGTTTCTCTGTGGGATCTTTTGCATTTTTCTCCCTCTTCCATGATGTTCTCTGAGTCTTGACACCCCTGCCCAAGGGCCAGTACTATATAGGTGTTCTGTTTAGGTTTGAGCACTCAACAGTTGATTATTCTCAGCACTTTGACCTCTTAGGACTCTAACCACCACCCACCTCTGCACAGATTTTTGACTCTCTACAGATGTCTGTTGCTTAAGATGGCCACTTGGTTAACAGTGATGATCTAAGATTGTCCCTTCCTCTAGATAAAAAATCTCTCTTCCCTCTTCTCCTCTATAGGCACACCTGGATTACCCAGACCCTCCCTGTGGCTTCCCCACTGGATTCCTGAACAACTGCCCTCCATCTAGCTCCTTACTTACACACATGCAATCCTTTGCACTCATCACTCATTTACCACTCATTCTAAAACCTTACGAGTGTGTGTGTGTGTGTGTGTGTGTGTGTGTGTGTGTGTGTGTGTGTGTGTGTGTAAAAATCCTAATCCCTGGTTGGAATCTTTTGGAAAAGGTGTAAGAGTTTCTCCAGAGATTTCAAATACCCTCTGTGGTCATTGGACTTGAACTTGTGAGAGGTTTTTCTTAAATTTATTTGCACATATTCCCCATCAAGCTGAGGGTAGCTGCCATCTATTCCTGCCTAGACTGAAAACCTGTAGAAAAATGTTCTTTCAGTATGACTGACCAAGTGATAGAACAGCATATTCCAACCTTCCCTCGGAACGTCATTGTAATAGGTCTGCCATTTGTTTTGTCTTGAGAACAAATGAATTGTATCATACTAGAACACTACCCCCTGGAGGCATTGACACTGGTCCTGAAGGAATTTGTCTCAGGTGCTTCCGCTGAGCATCTACATTGCTGCTCTTCCTTCCATGCCCACTGTACCATACTGCACATGGGTGCCCTCTTCGAACTGACCAGCCATCTCCTCCACAGGTCTACCATCTTACAGCAGCAGTTCAACCGGACTGGCAAGGCAGAGCATGGCTCAGTGGCACTGCCAGCTGTCATGCGCTCTGGCTCCAGTGGGCCTGAGACTTTCAATGTTGGTAGCATGCCCTCACCACAGCAGCAGGTCATGGTTGGACAGATGCACCGAGGACACATGCCTCCACTGGTGAGACTTCTGCTTATTTTTCTGTTAACCTCCGGGCCATCAGAAATGGTGACAACTTCTATGTGGGAACCCTATGCCTCACATGTGAGCCACAGGTCATCAACTGTGCATTCCTGTAATAGCATGACTAATTACTTCTTTCTAGTATCAGTGACTAGAAAGTGAGGGACCTTGTATTTAGTTATGTTTTTTTCATTGTAATTGCAAAATACCTGACAAAAGCAACTTATGGAAGGAAGTGTGTATTTTGGCTAACATTTTGAGTAGAGTCTATTATGAAGAAGGGATTGGCAAGAGTATGAGGCTGCTAATCCCACTGTGCATCCCATTAGGAAGCAGGGAGCTGGGGCATGCTGGTGCTCAGCTTTCATTTGAACATAGCCCAGGATCCCAACCTGTGGAATAATGCTACCCACATTGAGAGTGGACCTTCCTACCTCAGTTAATACAAGCTAGAAATTGGTCTACCCTCAAAGACCTACCCAGAGACTTGTTTCTTGGGTGATTCTTAATCTCTTCAAGTTGGCAATAAAGATGAAACATCATGACCCTCCTTGTGCTGTAGCAACAAAGTCCCATGCCCCTGCAGCAACTTCAAGCTGACCAGTCCTGAGACCCTCTTAAAGTGTGAGAAACTGAGAAACGGCCAGTCATCTGTGATCTACCTTTGCAACCTGGTCTTGCTGAATCCTTTCTAATTCATCTGATTCAATACCACTTAGACATGCCTTGGGAATCTCTTGCTATTAGGTTGGTTTTGAGAATTCAAGAATATCAAAGCTTGGAAATCATTCAGCTGTAAAAACATGTTGGCTATAAGTTTTGGCAGAGTCCTAAGGGTGATCAAGAATCCTTCTTAAAAAACAGCCATCTGTGTTCTGTGCATGAGATCTTTTATCCACAGTACTCAGATCAACTGTACCCTCTGAATTCCCCTGTGAAGATGCTCGTCAGCCTTCTTGTCTGCTAATTAAGCTCTCCACACCCTTCTGATTATAAGCCCTTCACTGCAATCACCTTCGCTTTGTGTTCTATTAATATAATGTGCTATTTCTAGCCCTCAGGTTGAAATGGGAGCTAGTTCAGGTGCGTAATGAGATGTGCTCTTGACTAAGAAGGGTTTAGTTTTGTTCTGTTTTCCAAGGAGGTCCTGTCAGTTCCCAGATTTCGTTCACCATCCTGTGTTCCTCTGCCTTTGCAGACTTCGGCACAGCAAGCCCTTATGGGGACCATCAACACAAGCATGCATGCTGTCCAGCAGGCTCAGGATGACCTCAGCGAGCTCGACCCACTGCCACCTCTTGGACAAGATATGGTAAATATCCATCAGAGCTTCTCATCCTATGTCTCTGTCCTGGCTCGGAATAAGGTTATATGCTCTGTCTGGCTTCTGCTGGATGAAGCTGTCTCCAGCTAGCTGATAAAGAAATCTGTGTGTCTTGGTATATGTCAGGTCTTTGACTCTGTCACACTCATGGGAAAAGAGGATGGCTGTGCTGAGCTTAGACCCTGGAGTCCATTGATCCCAACTCCTGTATTCACTGGTTGTGTGAATCTGGGCATCTCACCCCCTCAAGCCTTTCCCCTGTCATCTGTAAATAGGGCTGATGGGAAGGGGTGATGATCCAATTCTTAGCATTCACTTAGCATCTAATAAGAGCTCAACTCAGGCAGCTGGCTTTGTCATTTTAAATACTGCCAGTAGCTCTCAGATTTCCATACACAATGGGATCTCATGCATGGCTTGTTAAAACTTATCTCTGGGCCCTAGCAATCATCTTTGCTTATGTTCTGTTCTTAACATCTGTTTTTGATCGAGTGGGTATGGTGTGGGGCCTATGAATGTGTGTTGCCAACACATTCCTCGGGATACTGACTGAGTACAGTGTTTTGTCAACCCCTGGGTTAGCTATAGTATTACTGAGCCTTGCTGCAGGGTGAGGTGATGAGCACTGAGGCCTTCCGGTAACTGCTGCACAAAATCAGCTAATACCTCACATTTCAGGACGTAGTTTGCAGGACAGCAGCATTGACACCACCCACATTCTAAGGGGAGAAGCAGAAATCATAGGGCAGTCAGCGTCCTCTGTCACTGTGCCTCTTAGCCAGCTCTCCGTGATTTGTTGGCATGCTAAACTTGGCAGAGCCCTGACTAGCTAGCTTGCTCCCTGCCACCTTCTTCTCCCTCCTTTCCTTACTCTGTACCCAAACCACCTGCAGAGCATCACAAATAAATCTCAGGTTACGCAAATCAGTGTCACTGTGCACAGACCTGGGCATCAGAGTGAGTTTGTTTTCCTTCCTATAGGCAGTCACAGTGAGAAACTGCTGCTAAGATAGACTGATGACCTTGCAGGGGCCAGAACCAAGATGTATTCTGCAGCCTCATCCTGTCTATCGGGATCACTCCTTCAGAGTTGTCCCTGAATGCTGTTTCCCATTTCAATACTGGTGTGTGGTGTACTGCCCTCTCTGCCATTTCTCTCAACTCCCTGAATTCCTCCTACATTTTACTCAGGGAACTTGAAGTTAGAAATAAATAGTGGACTATCCTATCAAGAACAGTTGGGAGACAGACCTTTAAAATATATGGTGGTGGTGGCTGTCCCGATTCATCAATTTTTGAAGAATTAGAATGCACTAAGATAATATGTGATTCCCCTGAGCCTAGATCATGTCTTACCTACAGAATCATCTTTATCAATATAAATCATTTGTTAGGTGAGCCCTGAAATGTTAGAAAATAGAATGTTTATTAGCAGGCATATCCAAACTTTTGACGCAAGCGGAGTTACAAAACAATACTACTAATAAATCACACACATCAATCTCATACTGTTTTGAGTAAATTTACAGTTTTGTATTTTGTAGCTTCATTCATAGCTACCCTCCGCCAATTGTAACCCACAGTCTTCAGGACAGACACACCTGATTGATTGAAACAAAATAGAAGTGCTAGGAATGCCTTTTGAATCTCTATAGTAGGAAGAAGGTAAGGCCTGGGTGTAATTTGCCATTGTTCTATCACCTGGAAGAGGTAAAGCAGGCCAAGAGCAAGTGCCTCAGCCTATCTTCTCAGTCGTGCTGGGAAAAATGCCACCTGCACATCGCCATGATACTTGATTTTCTTCATGATAGTTCATGTCATGTCAATAGGAAAAAATCTGGTGATGGTCAAGAACTTTTGCAAGCTGACATGCCCGAGGTCTTATTTTGCTGCCTACAAAAGTGGAATGAAGATTACCATCAAGTGTTAGTGTTAGTTAATGTACATAAAGTTATTGTGAGACATTGATTTTTATTAGCTTACCCTAATTACGTATAATAATGTGTTTCATTGTGAAAATTTTATACATATATAATATCCTTTGATCATATTAACCCCATTGCCCTCTCTTATTATTGCCCACTCCTGTTGAGCCTATACATACCTCATTCATCTTGTTTGTTGTTATTGTTGTATGAACCAGTGAGTTTAGTTAGGATTACTCATAGGAGCATGGATGAGGGGTTATATATGGCAATGTGTGCTACTTATTGGTAGCAATACCACTAAAGAAAATGTCTCTCCTTCTCCCAGCAGCCATTAAGTGCCTGTCAGTCCTCAGTGCGGGGCAAGGCCTTATGAGTCTCTCCAGCCTCCCCATTAGGCCCAGTCTTGTATAGACCTTTTTCAAGTAGTCTAACTGCTGAAAGTTCTAAGAGGGTCATGGCAATGTCACATGGCCCAGATGACTGAGTATTACAGTATTCTACTCGTCTTACTTTTGTATTGCTGTGACACCATGACCAAAGAAACTCTCAAAGAAAGCATTTAAATAGGCTTATGGTTTCAGAGGGTCAGAATTCATGATGGAATGAAGGCATGGTGCAAGAAACAGCTGAAATCTCCATCCTGACAAGTAGGAAGTAGAGAGAGCCCCCAGTGAAGCAGCGCCTCCAACGGGGCCACACCGCCTAATCCTTTCCAAACAGTTCTGCCAACCTTCAAACATGTGAACCTATGGTTTCATTTTCATTCAAACCACCACACTACTCTTCTCTCCAGCTTTTACATTTTCTCCTTCCCCTTTTCTGTGATGTTCCTGGGTCTCAGCGGAAGTGATAATAGATGATCTTTGACTCTTTCTTGGTTGTTTTCACCTAGATCATTTTATTTCACCATATCATTTTATTTTTCCTAGAAGTTGTAAACTTTTTCTTTAATTGCAGTAGAAGATACAGAGAGTTTATAGGCCTTTCAATATCTTTGAACACACAAGAAACCTGTTCAGGATATTATTTAAGATGACTCTGGCATGATCAGTGCTGGCCTAGGCAGGAGAGTACAGTCAAATTCTGGTCTCATTCTATGGCTCAAATTCTCTGGTCTCCTGAGCAATTCAGTGCTATGATTATGTCATTCCCTTGTCTGGTTTTTACAGGCATCTAGGGTATGGGTTCAGAACAAAGTGGATGAATCCAAACATGAAATCCACTCTCAAGTTGATGCTATCACAGCTGGGACAGCTTCAGTTGTCAACCTCACAGCTGGTAAGTCCCTGGGTGGTTTGTGTTGTAGCGTGTTTGTGTGTTTCCTTGGGCCCTGCGTGTGCACATGTGTGTGAGTTCATTCTTTCATTGAAGCAACAGATTGCTATACTATGAGAAGATAGTCTATTTTTAGACATCTGGCCTGCTTTAGGCATTTGCTCCAAATGATGCAAGAGAAATGTAAGGAGCATCACATTCCTTTTTGTTGATATGGTGCATCATTAAAAAGCACTTACCTAGTGCTCGTTGTCCATCAGCATGCGAACATACTTAAACGTCTTTGAGACCAGTTTCTTCTGCGGAAAGTTAAGAATCTAGAAAGGGTCTAGACATGCCAAGCATCTACCCTTTGCCTGTCTTGTCCAGTAGTTGTCTCTTCTGGAGTATCCTGACTCCCACCCTCACACCATCTGGTGAAAGCCAGGAAATACCTAGGCTTCTCTCTGCAGTGTACCAGTGTTTCAGGAGTAGAGTGATCCCCTGAGTGGGGTTTATAGGATGTTGATGCTTGCTTTGGAATTTGAAGAGAGAGAGGGAGAGAGAGAGAGAGAGAGAGAGAGAGAGAGAGAGTGCATTTGTGGAAGTCAGAGGACAACTTCAGGTGTCCCTCCTCAAGCACAGTCCTTCTTTTGGTTGAGATGGCCTGAAACTCTGCATATAGTCCAAGCTAGCTTGCTATCAGGCCTACGGGTCCACCTGCCTCCATTTCCCCAGTATTAGGATTTCAAGTCTATACTGACACTGCTCTCTTTTTTGTTTTTTGTTTTTTGTTTTTTTTTTTTTAATATAGATTCTGGGGATTGAACTTGGGGTTTGTATTTGCAAGGAAAATGCTTGGCTGACTAAGCTATCTCCCTAGTCTGCCTTCGAACTGTAGTTTTTTAAATTTTTAGTTACATTTACTCCATAGTGCACATGTGGAGATCAGAGGCCAGCTTTCTGGTGTTAGATCTCTCCTTCCACCATTCAGGTTGTGAGGAACCAATATGGGTCATCAGACTTGGCAAGCATCTTACCTACAGAGCTATTTCAGTGACCCCTACTTTGAAATTATATATATTTGAGAATTTTATACCAGAGTACACCCCCAGCTATTCCCAACTCTTCTCACTACCTCCTCTCAAATTCCAGACTCTTTGCTTTGGAAGTTTAAAGGAGTCTTGTTCACTGTCTCAGTTTGTGAGACCTCCAGGTGAGAGGACCTTATTGAAGCCACTTATTGAATTGGAGTCAAGGTGTCCAATTCACTAGGTTCCTTGAAGTTCTATATTTGATACCTGCACAGTGGTAGGGCATGGGTTCTAGCCAGTGGGAGTTTTGAGAAAGTCTCATCAGAACTGCTTACCTCCCTCCAAGCTAGGCTCTCCTCACCCATCACCACTCCCCTTTGGTCTTGGTCCTTCTCTGTCCAGGTGACCCAGCTGACACTGACTACACAGCCGTGGGCTGTGCAATCACTACGATCTCTTCCAACCTGACCGAAATGTCCAAGGGTGTAAAGCTGCTGGCAGCTCTCATGGACGATGATGTGGGCAGTGGGGAGGACCTTCTCAGAGCTGCCAGGACCCTCGCTGGGGCCGTGTCTGATTTGCTGAAGGCCGTGCAGCCTACTTCTGGAGAGGTGAGCCCTAAGGACACATAGTCACATTCAGACTATACACCTGCATCCCTTCAGGTCCATGGAGCTCTGGCTTCGTGAAAGTATATTGCTGTCCCTCTTGCAGCAAAATACCACAGGGTAGTATTGAGAGTTGTTGAAACAAGTCAGATTGTGTGGTTCAACCTCTGGGGAGGGCTGTGCTCCTAGTAGGAAACCTTCCCAACAAGGGTGTTTAATTAGATGCAGCTAGTTACTCAACCCCCATGACTAGTACACAAAAGGCATACATACAGGTTTGCAACTGAATTTCTGTACATATCAGCTTTGATCTAATTGTGCAAGACAGATTCATTGAAGTTTTTCAAGCACATCTGCCTGTTACTGGTTGATGAACATGTCCTTGCATCGATCTCACCAGGATTTTTTTTTTCCTGTCTGGCGTACAACCCAAGATCTTCATTTGCGTGTGGGAGGAACTCTGCGTGATTCCTCACTATACTGATGTGTGTTGAGACATAGGAAGAAATTCATTTTCTTTCCAACCAAATCATGTTATCTGTTTGTAGCCTCGACAGACTGTTTTGACTGCTGCTGGGAGCATCGGCCAAGCCAGTGGTGATCTCCTGAGACAGATTGGAGAGAACGAGACAGATGAGCGATTCCAAGTAAGATGTCTGCGGCTTCCCAGTCTTGGAAAGGATTCTGAGTGATGAGTCTGACCTCACTGGGAGGATGTATTGGAATACAAGCCTGGACTTCCTGGGGCTATTAAGAATAAGATCAAAGGAGATGATTTGAGCAGTGAGATCTTTTAGTGTCAGTTAAATGTGTATGTTTTTAATGGAAAAGCTCAGGTCACTTATATTATATATCATCCTCCAAAATACTCACTTAGCCTTTCTAGTTGTTCATCAGTTTCTTGAACATCTTATAAACAAACAAACAAACAAAAAAGTGGATAAAGTAATCATGAATCCCTTTCTGTTGGCTACCCAGCCTCCATACTTACATTCTCAGCAAGTCTTGTTTTATTTTGTGGGGAATGGTTTCTAATGGCCTCCTTCTTTTTGTCTTCGATGTTTTTATTTTGTGTGGGGATATTGGTGTACTTGCATGTATGTGCACATGTGTGTGGAGGTGGGAGGTCAACTTCTGATGTTATTTCTCAGGATGCTTTTCACCTTCTTTTTGGTTTTGAGGTAAAGTTTCTCACTAAGACCTGGGGATTTTTGATTCAGCCAGGCTGGCTGGCAGTCAAAGCCCAGAGATCTGCCTCTCTCAGCTTCCTCAGAGCTACATGCACCACATGCCCACTGAGCTGTGTTTCTCCAACTCTGCCCTTACTTTCTAAAAGGTGTTTTCTAAATGACCGTATTTTTTGAAAGTAGGATCTGGGTATTTAACTGAGGCTAACCCACCACGTACCTGATGACTGAGCTAAGCACTTGCTGTGCAGTGAAGCCATGCAGTGTGCAGCACCCCAACTGAGAAATCATTTTTGGGACCCTTACTTTTCAACTCTGAAGTCTTACACTGCTCATCCTCTGCTGAGCAGCTGTTGCTACTGTTTGCAGCTGGATTGAGTCACTGCCAGTTTCCTGACATTGACGCTCAGACAATATCTCAGCCTGTCTGCCTTCTCCTGACCCCACAACCAGACTGTTGAGGACCAAAACTGTAGGCCAGGGTGAGCTCTGCTCACATATTTTAAAAGTTCTCTGATTTTGCAACTGATACATATGTCCACCCTAACTAGAATACTAAATTTCTAAGCTAGGTTTCTGAAGAATACCCTTATCAAAATCTATCAAATTCATTGTATGATGATTCAATTGAATTTTACCTTTTACTTTTTTATTTATGTGAAAGTGTGTGTCTGTATGCATGTGCATGAGGGTACCTCAAGAGGCCGGAAGAACATGTCAAATGCCCTGGAGGTAGTGTTATATTCAGTTTTTAGCCACCCAAAATGTGTGGTGGAACCTGCACTCAGGTCCTCTACAAAAACAGCAAGCACTCTTAACCACTTTGCTGTTTTCAGCCTCTTTGTTTCACTTTTGTCAATGTGGTCTCAGGTAGCCTCAAGCTCACTATGTATCTAAGGTTGACTGAAATTCTGGTCTTCTTGCTTTCATCTACATGCTATGATTACAGGTGTGCTCTACCATGACTTGCTTACGTGGTACTGGGAATGGAACACAGACTTTAGGCATGCTGGCAAGCACTCTGTGACCTGAACTATGTCCCCAACCCTGCCCTTTCCTTTTTAAGAACTGTTTTCTGAATCATTGTATCATAATGCAATATATAACTATATGTGAAACACTGATTTAGAAATCAGAAATCACTAAATGTCAAATGGATAAGAACTGACACTACCCTTATCACCAAATTCAGAGATTTATTTATGTATGTATATGAATGCCCTGTCTTCATAGACATTTGTATTCTAGAAGAGGGCTTTCGATCCCATTATAGACAGTTGTGAATTACTATGTGGGTGCTGCAAATTGGACTCAGGACCTCTGGAAAAGCAGTCAGTGTTCTGAACCACTGATCCATTGCTCCAGCCGGAAAAAGAAAATCTTTTTATCAATCACTTGATACCTTTAATTCATCCCACAATGCAAGAGGATGCATTTTTGGCTACATCCCTTTTGGCCACCTCTTCACTGGTCACTGTCATCATAATATTTTTTTAGAAAGAGATCAGATACCTTCCCCTTTCTTAGCTTCTTCCCCTAGCATTATGGCTTTTTACTTCATGGGTGGCCACATGCTGCTTGACTTAGTTAGGGTTGCTATTGCTCTGACAAAATACCATGACCAAAGCAACTTAGGGAAGAAAGGGTTTATTTGGCTTACACTTCCATATTGTAGTCTGTCACTGAAGGAAGCTAGGACGGGAACTCAAACAGAACTGGAACCTGGAAGCAGAGGCCATAGAGGGACAATGCTTACTGGCTTGCTCAGCCTTCTTTCTCATAGAACCCAGGACCATCAGCTCAGGGATAGCACCACGCACCATGGGCTGGGCCCTCCCACATCAGTTACTAATTAAGAAAATGCCTTACAGCTAGACGTTATGGAGGCATTTTCTCAGTCAAGGTTCCCTTCTGTCAGATGACTCTAACCTGTGACAGGTTGGCATAAAAACTAGGTAGGATGCCATTTTCTCTAGAATTATTGGGACAGGATGTGTTACATGGACCAAATCATGATTGCATGTGTGAAGAGAAACTTACACTTTCGTCCATAGAAGTATCCATCCTGTCCCTGTACTTATGGTTCTGGGAACCCAGCACACATTCATGTCCTGAGGTGTAGTAAGATGTTCAGTATACTCAGTATACCATAGAGGCTGGCTCCCAGTATGGAAGTCATTTCTGTACTAAGATCCCCAGGAGCCACTTCACTATGTGCAGAATTCCCTGCAGACTACATAATAAATCCCACCGACGCCTGCTCTTGTCCCCATCCTGACTCCCTTTCAGATCTCCATACTGTCTTTGTGCTGGCCTCACATTTTATATTGGTACAGGTAATTCTCCTAGGCAGATAAGTCTTAGGAATTTGGTCTATATTAGATTCAGCTGCTAACTTGCTAGGCTTCATTATCTTTAAGCACTCAATTTACTTTCCTCAAAAGTATTGCTTTCTGGGGACTGACAAGGTAGTTCAGGCGGTTATGTGCTTGCCATGACAGCATGAGGACCCAAGTTAAATCCTCAGTTCTCATGTTTAAAGCTGGGCCTACACAGTGATACGTATCGGTAATGTCGGGCAGACAAAGATGGGAGGATCTCCTGGGATTCACTGGCCAGCCTGCCTAGCCGAATTGGCAACCCTATGGTCAATGAGAGACCCTATCTCAAAACAAACAAGGTAGACAGCTCCTGAGGAATGGCACCTGAGCTTGTGCTCTGATCTCCACACTCAAGTGCACACCCAAAAGCAATCTTTTCTCCAGTGTCGAATGCCGGAAAGGAGACGGTGTGGATTCCTGTAAGGCGTGATACTTGCTCTTGCCGTTTTCTGAAGCTTTGCATCGGATCTCTTCCCTTGATGGATTGTCTGCAGTGTTCAGATGCAGACTCTGCCTCCTGTTTGCTTCTTTGGCAATGTCAGGGGGGGCAGGTTCAGGGACAAGGTGGAATGCTCCAGAGAGTGGGGTCTCCCCAGCCTCCTGCAATCATGAGTCTACCTGGCACTGTGTTTCCTCTCTGTTTTTCTGAGTCCCATAGTAGAGCCTTTCTTGGGTTCTCAATGTACTGCATGTTCTCAGAGATGACAAGGATTTATTTCACACAAGCTACACAATATTGGACCTATTGAAAAGTTTGACGAAGACCTGGTCAACAGCTCTAACTGCAGCATCCCATTTTTTTTCCTGACTGATTGTTTTGGACAAAATTAATAGAAACAGGATTTCTTTAAATGACTCAAACAAAGTCCTTTGTGACAATTGTGGTTGTGGGTGACCCAGTCTTGGTCCCTGTGCAAGCAAATGAATTCATATCACATGAAGTAATAGTCTGATTGACTTCAGAAAGTTGAGCTTAAAAGTCTTATTAGTAATCTATGACATCCAGATTGCTTTTGTTTTTGTTTCTTTGTTTGTTTTTCAAGACAGGGTTTCTCTGTAGCTTTGGATCCTGTCCTGGAACTCTCTCTGTACATCAGGCTGGCCTCAAACTCACAGAGATACGTCCACTTCTGCCTCCTGAGTACTAGGATTGAAGGCGTGAGCCACCACTGCCTGACTCAGATTGCTTTTAACCTAAATTCAGACACAAATGTCCAAGATCGGTGGGGGGCTGTGAGGGGAGGCATACTGGGAACAATTCTTGAGAGCTGTGCAGCAGATAAAAGCCACTTGACTCCTGAAAGTGTCATCAGCCTCTTCTTGCACACCCAGACACTGTCACAGACCCATGAAAGGCCACAGTAAATGGTTCCTTTAAGACCACTTTATTTTTGTCCAGTTTAAAATCAACTTTTTTTTTTCCATTTTAGTGTGTGTGTGTGTGTGTGTGTGTGTGTGTGTGTGTGTGTGTGTGTGTGTACTTATATCACTTTACCACTGCATACATGTGAAGGTCAGAAACAACTTAGGGAGTCTCCTTTGATCATGGGGTTCCCAGAGACCAACCTCTGGCCATCAGGTGTTAACAGCCAGTGTCTTTTCCCTAATGAGCCATCTCTACAGCCTCCAAATTGCTACTTTTTAGTATTGCCTGGGTGATGTGTATTTGTCACCAGTGTAAACTGTACAGGCTGGACACCATTTCCAACATATTTTCTCATAGGATCTCTCATTGTAAAGAACCTACAGTAACCCTTGATATTTAGAACCAAATGTGCTTCTTTTCTATTATCTGATGAATAACTGAAGACTTCTGAGCACTTTTCCTCTGGAGAAAAGCCTCGGTGTGCTTGTTCAAAGTAGCAGTGGCTTGGGTGCTAGGGAAGGTATTTCTAAATCAAATAAGCTGCTTTCAATATTTGCAGCACTGACGTAAATTAAGTGCAAAAGTGGTTCTTTTTCAGGTCAGACAGATGGGTGACAGATCTGGCAGTCGTAATCAAAAGATTCTCCCTGCTGCAGGTGATACCTTTCATAAACTGAGCTTTAAATTCTCAGCAGCCCTCCCATCCTTAGATAAGGTTGTTTGGAGATAGGATTTCATGTCATCTAAGCTGCCCTACCAATTAGATTAGCCCAAGACGACCTTGAACCTCAGGTCCCCTGCCCCACCTCCCAAATTCTGGTATTGCAGGAAGTCTTTGCCAGAGCTGGTTCACAGACATGGCACCCAGGGCCTCATCTGTGGTGGGCAAGCAGTCTACCAGCTGAGGCATGCCCCCTACTCCCCGTCATCTTGTGACCAGTTTGTTTATGCAAGTTCTCTTCTACTTTCCATAATCCAATCCCTATGCAGAAGGTTCCAGTTGCTGAGAATAAGTTATGTTCAGAGCAGTCTTTGGCTCTCCAGCTCTAGGAAGTGGTGCCATCAATTTGTCTGTGTGTGTCATACGTTGCTTTCTGGAGGCAGAGAAGCAGCTGATTTTTGGATCATAACAAGCTAGATGTCTACAAGATAAATGTTCAACTAATCTGGAGCATGACGATTTGGAGGCCATGATTTAATGCCTACCTACTGCAGGTGGTATTGGTGGAATCTGAATGTATTCAGCTTCTCCCGAATCCACACATCCATCACATATAGGAGAGTGTGAGAACAAGAATTTGAGTTGGCAGTTAAGCCCTTCCTTCCTCTTTAGTCTGTTTTGTTTTCTTGTTTAAATTTGTGTGTGGTATTTTAGGGGATCTATATATGTGCTCAAGCGTGTGTGTGTGTGTGTGTGTGTGTGTGTGTGTGTGTGTGTAGATGTGAGTGCCAGAGTTCAATGTCACATGTCTCCCTCAGTCACTCACTCCCCACCTTATTTTTTGAGACAATCTGTCTCTGGATCAGAAGCTCACTGATTAGAGCAGGCTGGCTGAGCAGTGTGCTCCAGGGATCTACCCATCTCTGGGCTGACAGCACATTTGAGATGTGTGTACTTTGCCTGTGGCTTTTTACATGTGCTCTGGGGATCCAACCTCAGGTCCTGGTGCTTGCACTTTAATGACTGGGCCATCTCCCCAGCCCCTGACATGTTTCCTATGGAAATCTGTGCTACTCATTGTCCACAGGGACATATTTTGTTTTTTAAGATACAAGTTTTTTCCCTTAGTTTCTTGCAAGGAAGAGGTGGCATTTCAAAAATAAAGGGAAAAAAACTGAAGTGATGAAACCCCATAAAAACAAAATGGGGTTCTAATAGAAAGTTTAGATACACTCCACACAGTTTTAGTGTTTGAAGGGTGATTAAAAAAAAATAAATGAATGAGTAGCTTTGGTTCCCTTTTCTTAGGATGTTTTGATGAGTCTGGCTAAAGCTGTTGCCAATGCGGCTGCTATGTTGGTACTCAAGGCGAAGAACGTGGCCCAAGTGGCTGAAGACACCGTCCTACAGAACAGAGTGATCGCTGCAGCTACCCAGTGTGCTCTCTCCACTTCCCAGCTTGTGGCATGTGCCAAGGTGAGCCAGCTGACGTTTTGCCAGCCCTTCTTACAGTGCCACATACTTTTACCTGCTACCAGTCACTAAGTAGCCTGAGGTCTGGAGTTTGCTTCAGATGGCTTCTTTGGGGGGGACATGATAGAATTTTTGTTTGTTTATTTGGTTGGTTGGGTTTTTATTTGGGGGTGGGGGGAGATGGTTTTTTGCCAGAGTGTTTGGGAGGTGGAGACAAAGTCTCACTGTGTAGCTTGGTTCTCTTGGAACTATCTATGGAGACCAGGCTGGCTTGAACTCACAAAAATGTCTGCTTCTGCCTCCCAAGTGCTGAAATCAAAATTGTGCACCACCACACCCATCCAGACATAAGATTTTAGTATAAGCAGTCTAATTCTGTTTTTATTGTTTTATCTGTCCTCTATTGTTAGATGCAAATTGCTGTGTCTCCCTTTGGGCCTCTCAATGCATCTTATTTCCATTGCATAAAAGAGACTTTGCAATGGGTGGCACAGTATGGTACAGGAGTTCATACTGAACCCCACAGCTTCTTGAGGAGGCCTAGTCACCCCTGCTGTGGATGGCTCCAGGGTGTGTTCATTGTGTCTGAATCACGTGATTGGGTTTGGCCAGCAGTCCTGCACATTGAGCACCATTGGCCTTCATTTACGGATGAGGAACCTGAAGTGACTCAGTGTTAATGAGGAGCTTTCAGCCATGGAAATAAGCAGCAGATTGGGGTTATGGCTCAGACCTGCCCTGACGCCAGGTGCCCTTCCACTCCATCATGCATGTCTGCTTCTCTGAGGATGGGAGCTTCTGCTTCTGGCTTTCCATCTCCTGCTGTGTGGATTTGTGATGGAGAGGGTGGCATTTCCCTCCTGGGAGTGGATTTGGAGCATCCAGGAGCATCCTTAGTGATGCTCCTCCTGGCCCTGGAGTCCACAGAGAACTGACAGATCTTCCCTAATCTTTGAGGAAACACAGGCAGAGTTTTAGAGTTTATGGCCTCTGGAAAATACATGCAATTCTTTTAGGTAGTCAGTTGCTTTAACTCAGCCTAGAAGATTCACTTAGGATATCCTAAGAGGAAAAGCCTATTATTGGTAACTATCAGGACTTTGTCCTCTTTTCGGTACTGGGTAATAAGGACTGCCACACATGACTAATTAGCAGGATTTCTCAAATCACAAAGACAGTATAATAGTGTGGGGGTGACCACATTGGATAAGTTGAGGCCCTGTTATGTATGCTAAGTGAGGCTCAAAGGGACCTGAGGGAGATGCTGGGCATCCTGGGGCACCAGGAACATCCACTGCAGCAAACCTTTCTGTATCTTTCCAGGTTGTGAGCCCCACCATCAGCTCTCCTGTATGCCAGGAGCAGCTGATTGAGGCTGGAAAGCTGGTGGACCGCTCTGTGGAAAACTGTGTCCGTGCCTGCCAGGCAGCCACTGGTGACAGTGAGCTCCTGAAGCAGGTCAGCGCAGCGGCCAGTGTGGTCAGCCAGGCCCTGCATGACCTCCTGCAACATGTGCGGCAGTTTGCCAGCCGTGGTGAGCCCATTGGCCGTTATGACCAGGCCACCGACACCATCATGTGTGTCACGGAGAGCATCTTCAGTTCCATGGGTGATGCTGGTGAGGCACTGGTTTGGGAGAGGAGGGATTGGATCGGTGTGGGTTTTCCTCATGGTGTCAGTCACTTTCTAGGTGAAGGCCTCTAGTAACTAGCAAGAGCCATAGTGCATCTTCCTTAGTCCAAAACTTCCTCACTGAGGCACAGAAAAGATCCAGGAGTCTCAACAGCCTCTTCCAGAAACCACAGTTAAAAAAAAAACCTTATCAGAATTTCATTATTAGATTTTATAATATTAATAAGTCCTTTTATTCCATATGCAGGACATAGTTGGTAAAGTCAGAGCAGCCGCCAAAGGAAACAGGATCAAAGCTTGGATGAAGACATTTATGTAGAGATGCACTAGACATCCCTCCCAAGGTCACTGTAGAGAACCAAGAGGGGCAGTAGGACAGCAGATGGGATTGAAGAAAGGACCTAGACCACAGTCCTTGTTAGAATTTCCTGGGGAGGTGTAGGGTGGGACATTTTAATATACTGTAATATGTTCATCCTGTAAATTAAAGTTATATATGCAATATTATCTTTTCAGCCTGTTGAAAAGTAAATTTTTTTAATTCATGAGGTCAATGTGCCCTCTCAATCTCCAGAACTGACCACTTGATTTTTGTACCGATATATGGTAAAAATGGCTGCTATGGTAGACAAGCTAGCATACCCATCACCTCACAGTTCCTAGAATATCCCTGCCTTTAAAGGTTGTGTGTAGAGAGACAGAGGGTGACTCCTTCACAGCATATATAAATATATTTGTGTTGTACATACTATGAATTTTTCCATGCATCCTATACATTCGGTTTTGGTTTTGTTTGTTTGTTTGTTTTTAATGACAGGGTAGCATTCCATTTTGGAGGCATCATCATACGCTTAGCCAATTATCTTTTTTTCTCAGTGCTAGGAATCAAACCTGGGGAGATCTCTGGCTACATGCCGGACAAGCACTCCACCACTGAACTTAGCCTCTGGTACTTTGACTGTATATCTGTTATTAGACATTTAGTTTCCAAGTTTGTTTGCTTTTACAAGAATGTTCCTACCTAGGCCCTTCTTAAAAATGTGTCTTTACTTGCAAATCAGAGTTTTATATGTGGTGGCAATGCCTATCTGTGGAATTGCCCGCCAACTGATACGTGGATTTTGAAGTTGAAACTTCTTAATGAAATTTTTCTCTGAAAAGGCTTTGCAACCCTGCCTGTAAGAGGTCAGCTTCCTCTTTCTCTGCCCATGTACAACCATGCTTCATAACAAGTTCCTGGAGGTGGTCCTTTTGGCTAGTTTTTAGAGACAAACTCTCCTGTAGTCAGGGCTACTACTATTGTACTTATGATAGTCTGTGTAGGCTGATGATGGCCTGGGATTCCAGGTGTGTGCCTCAGGCCTGGCAATGGCTTGGTATTTGTTGAGAAAATTTTCTTGTGTTTTGTTTGTTTGTTTGTTTGTTTGTTTGTTTTGTTTTGTTTTTCAAGACAGGTTTTTCTGTGTAGCTTTGGAGCCTGTCCTGGAACTCACTCTGTAGACCAGGCTGGCCTCAAACTCACGGAGATCTGCCTGCCTCTGCCTCATGAGTGTTGGGACTAAAGGCGTGCACCATCACCACCAGGCTCTTGTGCTCTTTTATATGCTTCTTAAGTTACTAACTGGGAATGCTATGTGCAATTGGGTTTTCTGCTGGTGTTCGTCTCATTTTTGGCTTGTTATTTTATATAAACCTTTTATTTTAGAATAGTTATAGCGTTGCCTTTTTTAAAAAGTTGCAGAGGCAGTAGGGTCCCATCTTTCTGCTTCCTCCCATTTCTAATATTTCTAATCGTGGCACATTGGTCAAAGCATTTGTGGGCGTGTCCCTGTTAACCACCCACAGTGGTTAACAGTTTTCCCACTTGTGTCTTTTTTTTTTTTTTTTTTTTTTTTGGTCCCACAATGCCATTGAGGTCACCACACTGATTTTAGCACATGTCTGTATGTATAAAAACTTATCTCCCCTCAGACACAAGCTTTGGGAGAGGAATCAGTCCTTTCCCTGGAACAGTTTCATTTGTGATGTTGTATCCTAATAGACCTCCCACATCCAAAAGTAAGTTGAAATAGATTTTCATAAAGTCAAAGGCACAGCAAGGACAAACAGTAACAAAAGCTCCAAACCAGCAGCCAGGCAGTTGTGGCACACTCCTGTAATCCCAGTACTTGGGAAGCCGAGGCAGTTGGATCTCTGTGAGTTTGAGGTCAGCCTGGTCTACAAAGTGAGTCCCAGGACAGCTAAAGCTATTACACATAGAAACCCTGTCTCAAAACAAACAAACAAAAAAAAAAAAAACAGGAATTGGGGGTGTAGCTCAGTTTGGTAAACTGCCTACCTATCATTCAAGAAAGCCTTGGGTTCAGCCTGCAATACCTCATAAGCCAGGCGTGGCGGTGCTTGCCTGTAACCCCAGCACTAAGAAGGTAGAGGCTAGAGGATTGGGTTATACTTGGCTGTATAGTGAGTTAGAGGCTGACCTGAGACACATAAAACCCTGTTTCAAACAAAGACAACAATAAACAAACCTTCCTGATCACTGAGATCATTCTCAGACAGAATGGCAAATAAACAGCCCATACCTACTGTCCTGTCCTTTAGGTGAGATGGTGCGCCAAGCCCGGGTGCTGGCCCAGGCCACCTCTGATCTTGTCAATGCCATGAGGTCAGACGCAGAGGCTGAGATTGACATGGAGAATTCCAAGAAGCTCCTTGCAGCTGCAAAGCTCTTGGCTGACTCCACGGCTCGCATGGTGGAAGCTGCAAAGGTAGGACATTTGGTCTTTTGACTTGAAATGCAAACACTACTGAGTGCTGGGGTTTGAAGCTTACAGTCAAAGGTGAAGGATGGAGTGTGGACTGCTCCTTGTTGAAGACTGGAGCTGCTTTGTAACACATTTAGGATAGTAGAGAGAAAGAGGTGCTGACTCAGCACAGACAGCAAAGCATAGTTACTACTGCTGGCTTGGTGAATGTTCTCATCACTGCAACAAAAATGCCTGTTGAGAGTAACTCAAGGGATGAGATTTATTTTGGTAGCAGTTGGTGGCTGGTCACATCACATCCTAGACATGAGCAGAGAGGTTAAAACTGGTGTACTCAGCTGCCTTTCCATTTTTCAGTCTGGGTCCTCAGCCCTGTGGAATGGTGCTGCTCACACTTAGGGTGGGTCTTCCCACCTCAGTCAGCTCAGTCTAGAAACTCCTTCACACTCGTGCCCAAGGGGTTGTTTCCACGATGATCCTAAATTCCATCAAGTACACGATCAAACTTGAGCATCATATTTTGTTTCAAAGGGAGTAAGATAATCCTCTCCCTATGTTAACTTCATCCTTTCATGACCTCAGAATGCTACATAGCTAACTAAAAGGGACAGATTCTGAGGACAGGCTCAGCTAAAGTACCATAGCACAAGGGCTATGGACCTACACAAAGGACACTGGTGACTGCCATGAGGGTGCCATATTCTTCTGCTAGTTAACAAGCAGAAGCTTTGCTCTTTGAGTACAGTTGGGTACCAGCTGTTTGTCTCAGTTCTCCGAGAATACCCTCTGAGCACGTAATTTCTTTGCTTGACCTTTAACAAAGTTTCCTTGGCAAACGTTCTTCTTGTAGGACATCCATACCACTGTGGCCTCCCTACCCCCTCCCATCATGCTCCATTCAAGCCCCTGTTTTTCCAATGGAATCTTCACTTTATTTTTGCCTTGAAATGTTCCAGCAGTGATGTGAAGACATGAGCCATCAAGGTCTGTCATACCAGTTAGGATAAAATCTTCCTTGAGGAAGACTTTTACTTACACATTTTTCTCATATCTGATGGGGAGAGATTTATCAGAGCCTCTTTCTTCAAATCAAAAATTGAAATTGTCTCATAATAGCATATACTGCTGTCCATCACGCTGAACAGTCACTCTGTGTGCTCTTTTACCATATTTAGTCAGTTGTTCTCAGCCATAGCTCCCCCTCTAGGTTACAGAACATTAGAGGTCACTCCTAGCTATACCCTGAAGCTTCTTGCTGTTATCCATCCTTTGTCTGCCTGTCCCTCCCTCCATCCTTCTCTGGTAAAGACCATTCTATTTTTTCCTACAATGAGATTGACTCTTTTCTTGTTTGTATTGACCTTTCAGTGTTTGACATGATAGTAACTCAACTCAGCAAAAAAGGAGTGGTTTTTGATGGATTTTGTTTGGTTGGTTTTGGGTTGGGGGGGGATTTTGTTTTGTTTTGTTTTGTTTTAAGTAAATGATGCCCACATAACAGTTTCTCCTCCTGGAAGAAGATTCCCAGGACCCTTTATCTTACAAGGTTTGTAAAACTAGACTCAGAGTAGAAGAAAGTAAATTTCTTTTTACTTAAATTTTAGCTGATACTTGAAGAAATAAAAAGAATACATACTAATGTGATATTTTGTGATAATGCCTAAAATGTCTTTGAAGCCTTGAGTTTTTGAAATCACAACTACAAGGTAATTTGTACAGATATCCAAGACTGTGAACTACAGTGTTACTTCTTATACTTGGATACTGTATAGCCATGAGGTTTGGTCTTTAGTATAAAGATAGTGTTTATAGGGACTGAGGATGTAACATTCAGGAGGTTGTGACTTTAAACCCAGCAACACCTCCTGCTGGTACACAGCTATAATCCTAGTTTATGGCTTTCTATTCCAAATACTATACATTATTAGTGAGAAGTAAAATTAAAGGCATGCATTTAGCAACTGTAGCCTACTTCTCCTGGGCTACTTGAAATGTTCACTCCACCTTTGCAGGGGGCTGCAGCCAACCCAGAGAATGAAGACCAGCAACAAAGACTGAGAGAGGCTGCTGAAGGTCTCCGAGTAGCAACCAACGCTGCTGCACAGAATGCTATTAAGAAAAAGATCGTCAACCGGCTGGAGGTCAGGACGGGGGGATGGCTTTCAGGATGCCATTTGTGATTGCACAGAGTTTTCTGGAAAAAAAGATCCAATCACCAAAACAATGCCTATATAAAGAATGCCAAATCAAAGTTAGCAGTGTCGGATAGTTTGGGTACTTTAAAAGAATTGACACAATTTGAAAAATTGCTTTAGTTCATAGTTGCCAAAGGCTTGGGATCAAAATAGAACACGGCCTTTTTGCAGAGAGATTGGGGGGGTCTTGTTTCCTGGCATTAAAGGACACAATCGGCAGACCAGTGATGTAGAGCTCCTCTTCTGCTGGAGGCAATGACTTTTCCTAGGCTTCCTGTTGAGAGTTTTAGACTGGGGCTAGGGAGCAGGGTGGGACTAAGAAGGGAGAAATAATAAACTTTTTTTGTCATTTCTTTTCAGAATATTTATTTCAATTAAAGAGTTGAAAATAATAGGCACAAACTATACAAGAAAATCATTTCTTTACATGGATGCTTATAGGATACCCTAAAAATTAAAATGGGAAGGGATGGAGGACAAGTGACCTAGCTGTCTAATGTGAGCCTCTCGTAGGCAGTCTTCTGGGCTCTGGAAGAAAATTAGCCTCATTATTGGAAGGAGACAAAAGATAGAGCTGGATTAATTACCTCAGGGTTGGGGAAGTGTCGAGTCTGAACTGAGGCCTCTGCTATGAGACGAGGGACATGGGTACCTCCATGGACATAAAGAACAGCCTGGGCTTCATGAGGGAAATTTTCTTTCCAGGAAAATTAAGACTTCGTACTGCTTGCCAATGCCATCTCAGCTTTGCAATTGTCTCTTGCATTTTAAATTTCCATTTGCTCTTTGGTAACTGCATACATGAATGTGTTTAGATCATATCCACATTGCACTCTCCACTCTGTCTCCTGGACCATTTCTCTATATCACCTTCCTAACTTCATGCTCTGGCAGCTGCCTAGCACCTACTCCTTCCTCTAATAATAACAATTCACTCAGTCCAGATCATGCTGGTTATATGCGCATGGGCGTAGGCTCCATCCAGTAAGCGTAGCAACCTATGATTGGCTACACAGAGAAGAAAACTGACTCTTCTTTCCCCTTTGGCCATCTACTGTCAGTAGTTCCTTAGCTAGGTGTAGGGTCTCCTGAGCCTCTTCCTGCTCCATGCTGAAGGGTTGGCAGACTGGCTTCATCATTTACAAGGCTTGGGGGAACATCAGGGTGGAAAGATTGAAGAGCCAGAGGTTGGGGAGACTTGCTGTGAAGTATTATTTTCTGGGTGTGACAGGGCCATTGTGTTCATGAACTCACGGGCACCTGTGGTGGTCAACACAAGACCTGCAAAAGGTCAAGCCAGTCTTTTACAAAAAGCAGATGAGGTGAGTTTGCATGCCTTCCGGTCTTTCCCAGTTCATCTGGGAGTGCAGACCCAAGGCAGGTAGCAAAGAGTGATAAGATTGAGATCATCAGTGGCTTTGAAGACATGGTGACTGCTTCAGTCATGGAAAGGCGTAGTGTATGAGTTTGCAATACAATCTTGGACTGACCTGTGTCACTATCCTCTGCAGGTTGCAGCCAAGCAGGCTGCAGCTGCTGCCACACAGACCATCGCAGCCTCCCAGAATGCAGCGGTCTCCAACAAGAATCCCTCAGCCCAGCAGCAGCTAGTCCAGAGCTGCAAGGTAAGCTCCCTGTGTGCCGTGGGCCAGGTCTGCAACATATTACTGATAGCATTAGACCACCACATGCCCTGGTAATTCATTTAAGGCAGGTCTTCCAGGCTCCTAATCCAGTTTGCAGTGGCTCCATGCTCCAGGTGTACACACATCTGGTTTTTGTCCATTAAGTGGATTGCCTATGTTTGGAAGGAGTATCTTTTTTTTTTCCAGCATTATCTTTCCTTTATCCACATCATTTTGAAGAGAATGAATTAAATAAGAAGAATCAATGAGGCCATTTCAGAGATTTGAAATAGAAATGAGTCCTTGGCTTTACAGAGCCCCTTCCCCTCTGGGAGGCCGGTTACATTCAGTCTCCATACACTACAGCGGGTTGATTTCCTGCTTCTCCTCATCTGCAGTCTGCTTTGTCCCTTCTGCCTTCTGTGACCTCATGTTTTGGTGCTTTTTGTTGCCTGCTACTTGTTTGTCTCTGCTTTTCTGGGACAGGGGCATTGGTGTTGTGTTGAGGCCAGCTTACCACCAAGAGGGTTGACTCTCCCAGGGCACTTTTGATGGGTACCAAAGACACCCTCTTGCAGAGCCATTGCCTACACATGACGGGGCATCTTGCTGGAGTCTCGTTATAGTGTTGGCAGTGGAGGCTGCTAACAGGAATGTCTGATTGTACCAGTGTTCTGAAAGTTAACCTGTCCTGACTTTTCCTCCAAATCTCTGAAGAATAACAGTCGTCTGAGGGAAATGCCACTTCTTCAGCAATGGCTGTGCTTCTTGAGGGAAATTCAGTTCTACTTCCGAAATGGCAGTGCTGCTGGGGATAGCATTGCCCAGAGCTCTCTAATCTTGATTGTAATCTTTCTGAGGTCCCCTCTGAGAGCTGACTATGTTCTAGGGCAAAGAACATCTTTAGTGCGCAGGGCTCTGAGGTCCTTTGTGCTTAGGATCTGTGGATGGAGAAGAGCTTGCTGAGAGTGAGGCCTCTGCTCAAACAGTATAGTTCTTTCTTGTGCCACTCAGCTGCCCGCAGGATGGGAAAATGGCCTTTTCCTTCCTCTGGGAACACAAGCCACTTATTATGTCTGGGGACCTGTTATAGAGTCAGCCTTCTCTCCCTCTGCCTAAGGACTTGAGGTATCAGATCTCTGAACATCTCTGCCAGGAAATGAGAGGGATGCTAAACAACAGGCTGAAGTTGAGAGGGAAATGGACCAAGTTTCTGGAATCAGCACTGGAAAGGACCTGGGCACGTGTCCATAGGGATATTTTTAAATATTTTTACACTCTGGCTGGGGGTGGGGTGTAGACACCATGCCAAAATGCACTGGGCGCCTTTACCAGCACCTTTTCCAGTGGTGGTCCTGGGGCCTCTGAGGCCTGCTCCATCAGAGGATAATTAGGAAAGGTACAAGTAGATGGACTCGATGGTTCCTAAGATGCCTCTGGAGGTGACTGTCATAAGGTAATCCTGCTTTGCCAAATATGGCTCCTCTCTCCTGTGTTGGACTTTCTCATTTGAGAAAAGCTAAGTACTGGTTGGAACAGAGAAGCAGGAGAGATGCCCACATGCATCTTGGGGTCCCCAATCCATGCCTGCAAAGTCAGAGTCCTGAGCCCTTAAACAAGCTGGTTCACCTCTCCCCTGCTTCTTCTGGTCATGGGGTCATCTGACTGAGTTTATCTTCCTGTGAATTCTGTGGTCACCTGTGAGTTTTGACTTAGAAGTTCTTTCACAGCTTTGTTATAGAGAATGGTCTTCTATCTAATAGCCTGAGACCATTAGGACTACTGTTAAAGTGGGAGGGATAGGGAGAAGATGTGGGGAATGGGATTCAGGGTAGGACCCCACTGGCCAAGTATGGTCTTTAATCCAGCTTCTGGTGCTGCTGTCCCTGGGAATGGATCTTACCTCGAAAAGCAGCACTTTGGGACCTTTCCCTGCCCTGTTCCTCTCTGCACATGGTCTGTTACTGTTTTCTTGCTTCTTGCAGGCTGTGGCAGATCACATCCCTCAGCTCGTGCAGGGAGTAAGAGGGAGCCAAGCCCAAGCAGAAGACCTCAGTGCCCAGCTGGCCCTCATCATCTCCAGCCAGAACTTCCTGCAGGTAACAGACACCCACAAGATGGTCACTTTCGGAACCGCCAGCTGACAGTCTGCCCTTTGTCCTTAAGGAAGGGAGCATACCTGTGCAGACCCCATAGCCTTGGCTACGTTTTTGTCTGAGCAGCTGCAAGGCCTCTTTACATTATAGGTGAGGGAGATATTACTGGCCCAGCGAAACGCTAGTGATCAAGGCAAGTACCAATGGGTTAGTTTTTCAAGTGCCACCCACACCTCCATTATACAATGATAAAACACAGATGTTTTAGTCTACTTTAGTAAGTTTTGTTGCACACCTAGAGATACACTAATAGGTTTGTGAAGAGGATCTATAATCTTTTCTTTAATGTTAAAGATACCATTATTACTTCGTTGAGCATTTCATACTGTGCAATTTGTTGGCATTCATTTCAGCTCCTCACCTTAGCTCCTTCCAGAACCACCCTCACCTCTCGACCCACAACTTTGGGTCCTCATTTTTTAAAGTTGCATAACCCATTGACTCTAATCTGCGTTGTGCGTGTACTTCTGAGTGCATACACTGGAGTGTGGTGACTATACCAGGAGCCACACCCTTAGAGAAAACTGACTCTCTATTAGCATCAGTTGCTCCTCAGTTAAGCATAGGAGCTCATGAAGCCCTTCCCATTCCATGCTAGAAGAATGCTGCCTGGCTTGATATTGTGCAGGTCTTGTGCAGACATCCTTGGCTGCTATGAATTCTTGAGTGTTGCAATCCTGTCATGTCCAAAAGACACTTTTATTCCAAACCTCCCTTATCACTGGTTCTTAAAATCTTTTCTTCTTTCTTTCTTTCTTTCTTTCTTTCTTTCTTTCTTTCTTCCTCTCTTTCTTTCTTTCTTCCTTTTTTTAATTGAAAATATTTTTTTCATACAATATACTCTGATTGTGGTATATAACCCTTTGAACTACATTCATTGTATCTGCACCATTTGGGGATTGAACCTAGCATGAGGAGCAATTGCTCTAGCATTGGGCTTCAGCCCTAGCCCTCCTTTGTTTTGTGGGCATTTGTGATTCAGAAAGTCTTCCATGTGGCTATACACACTTCCTTTAACCATTGTCTCTTCATCAGACTGCTGGTTTTTATTTGGGGGCAATCACAAGCACCCTGTACATTACATCCACTTCCTGTGCTCAGTCTTTATCCCCAACTTGAGTTATTTACTTGGGTGAATTCCTAGAAATAGGTTTGCAAACAACTTACTTTTTCTTTGTCACACTGAGACTTAGAATGTAGAAAGAAGATCTTTTTCTTTTCCTTAGTAGTCCTGGAGGCAGCTGTACGTTTAGTCTGCACACAGGAGGACTGCAGAGAGTTAGGATTGAACAGAGTGGGTGCTTCTCAGTCTACCCTGACCGAAGATGCTTGCTCATGTTCTCTCTCCCACTCCTCCTCCCTCCTTCCCTCTCCCTCCCACCTTTTCAGTATCTCCTTTTTTTCTTTCTCCTGTTCTTTTATTATTATTTGTTTTGGTTTTTCAGGACAGGTTTCCCCATGTAGCACCAACTATCCTGGAACTCAATCTGTAGACCATATTATCCTTGAACTCAGAGATCCGCCTGTCTCTGCTTCCAAGTGCTGGGATTAAAGGTGCCACTGTACCCAGCCATGTCCTGTTGTTTTTTAACTGCTATTGTAGGTACTTAGATCTTTATAAAAAAGATGCAAGCCAGGGGTGGTGGCACATGCCTTTAATCCCAGCACTCAGAAGGCAGAGATGGGTGGATCTCTGAGTTCAAGGCCAGCATGGTCTGCAGAGTGAGTTCCAGGACAGCCAGGGCTACACAGAGAAATCCTGTCTCAAAAAACCAAAATAAGGAAAAAGTGTGTATATATATTTATGTTTATATTATATATATATATATATATATATATTTACAATGTTAGCAATCAATGTTACATATATATAATGTATCATATATGTTCTACCACTCAGCTAACCCCCACCAGCCCCAATACACATTTCCAACTTTCCTCATGAATATTGTAGAATTGCCCTTCCAGAAGGATGAACAAATCTAAATTTACAGCTCGCAGTATATGGAGCATACTTTTTAATACATCTTTTATAAGATGGAGTCAAGAGCTTAAAAAAGCATGCTAGCATATTTGTCCTTTACATTTGATTTGATTTGATTTCATATCCTTTGTTTTCAAATGTTAAGCATTTTTCATATGCTACAGTATTACATTTTTAAGGGCTGGTAACATGAAATTATTCAAGCTTTTTAATGCTTACATTAATGATTCTCATTAATTCTTTAAATACCAAAAGTAGTACTTTTATCCTTAAATATTTATGATCTGGCACTTAAATCATTACAGTTATTCTGAGACACACTTATACATTTTTAAAGCTCTAAAAGCGTATATGCTTTTGATTCAGCAAAGCTACTTGTAAAAATTTTACCCACTAAAAATTATTGAGATTTAGCTAATCCCCACCATTTCTTTTTCTACATTGGCACGGAAAGACCACATGCCCAACAATAGGAGACTGGGGAACATTAACAGGACTTGTAGAACCCTGTATACCTAAGAAGCAGGTAGAACCGGATGTTGTGAAATAACTCCCCTAGTTCTTGAAGATGTATCTACATGTGCATAGGCACCCATGCATGCTGAGCTCGTGAGTTTTGGTTTGTGAAGAAGCATGATCGTATTTACCTTTACTTTTCTGGTCTAATGGGTATATTTAAAAGCCAGGGAAAAGAACTGCTCTGCGAAACACAAAGAAATGTTTTTTTATTAAAGTGCTACCTTTGAATTTTATTTTAAATGAGAATTTCAAGTCACTTTCATCAATTTGCCTGTCTTGCCCCCCTCATGATACTTTGTACTGCCCTGGAGAGTCTGATTTGCCATGGTAATTATTTTTTTTTAAGATTTATGTAATTTTATGTTACCTGTTTATGTTTTGCCAATAAGTAAGTGTGTGTGTGTGTGTGTGTGTGTGTGTGTGTGTGTGTGTGTGTGCCATGTATGTGTGAAGGGGCTGGAAAAGGACATCAGATTCCCAAGAACTGGAGTTACAGACAGCTTTGTGAGCTGCCAGTGGGTCCTGGGTCCTGGGAGCGTGAGTCCTCTGTGGGAGAGCAGTGCCGGGGTCTGGCCTGTATCAGTCCCACCCTATAGAGGCCATCTATTCCAGACTGATGTCTTTGGGGCTGCAATCGGAACCAACCAACAGCTCCGGGTCCATCCCTGAGTGGAGGAGTGTGGACTGGGAAACTCCTAGCTACCCAATGGCGATAAAGATGAGACAGAGACATCTTGTCATTCTCTGGAGGGCTCTTAGTCCATGCTGGAGTCTGGAGTCCATGGTTTATATTCAAGTATCCTCTTAAATAGCTTTCCAACAGTGGGGGTGATAGCAGAAGACATCTATTATCATATATAAAGCTGATATCAAATATTTCCTTTAATACTAGAGGCAGTCCTAGAAGCATGTACACAAACCCTCAGACATTCCACAATGGCCCTAGCCTTCCTGCACCAGGCAGGGTTTCACTAGTGTTAGATTTCTGCTTAAATTAGAAAAAGAGGTGCAAGATGAGACATGAGAACATAGAGAACACATTAACGATAGTTTATTGTATCACGGGAGAGCTAGCAAGAGAGAAATAGAAGAACAGAGCAGGACAGAGAGTAAGAGAGAAGAGAGACAGACAGAGAACAGAGAGACATGGTTGGTCACCAGAGAGAGAGAAGCGGCAGGAAGTTGGAACTTTTAAAGGGAAGACTGACTGCACGTGGGCACTGAGATTCCACACATCCGCAGAGACCTCACAAAGGTCCAAAGGTCCTTAATACATGAGGAATGGTGATGGTGTAGCACATCCCTGTGCGTGCCTGTCCATCCTAACTAATCCTCAGAATAGGTGTGGGCCCACCCAGGGCCTAGGTCTATTGTTATACAAACTAGGAGCCATTCTCCACCTTGGCCGGGCCATCAAGAGGTAACCAGCCTACATCTGAAAGACATTGGGAAATTCAAGCTCCTAGAATTGAGCTGAGGTTTGCACCAAAAATATCATCAGGGATCTCCCCGACAGAGCAACCAGTGCTCTTAACCACTAAGCCACCTCTCTAGACCTAGGAACTAGTTGGTATTTAATATGCACCTTTGTATTAGTTATTCTTTGTTGCTATGACAACAAACATCATGACCAAAGGCAACTTAAGGAAGACAGGGTTTATATTGTCTTTGGTTCCATGGTGGAAGGGTATTTCATGGCATGGTGTGATGGCAACAGAGATCTGGCTCATCATATCTCGTCTACACACAGGAAGCAATTAGAAAGAAAACAGGAAGTAGGGTGATGCTATGAACATTCAAAGCCTTGTCCTAGTGTGTTGGCTGGTTTTATGTCAATGTGTCATAAGGCTATAGTCATCTGTAAGGTGGGAACTTCAACTAAGAAAATGCCTACAGATGATGGGGCTGTAAGCAGACAAGCCAATAGAGCATTTTAATAATTAATAATTGATGGGGAAGAACCCAGCCCATTGTAAGTGATGTCACCCTTGGGCTTGTGGTCCTGATTTCTATAAAAATGCATCCTGAGCAAGTCATGAGAAGCAAGCCAGTAAGCATCACCCCTCCATGGCCTCTGCATCAGCTCCTGCCTCCAGGTTCCTGTCCTGACTTCCTTTGTAAGACCCCCGGAAGCTCAGGCCTCCAGGATCTCAGCCCAGGACCTCGGTCACCCCAATCACCAGGCGGAGTCGAAAGCTTGATGCAAACAGCATGAGGCTTTATTATAGTTGTTTAACGAGCTAAACCCATGTTAGCTCAGGTCTTTCATCCACCCACCATGGCGGATGGCTAGGAAAGACAGCTTGAAGCGTCTGCATAGAGATCTTATAGGGCAGCGTAAGGGGAGTGTCTAGGGGTACGCACAGGCCCAGTATTGGTGTGCCTCCAGGATTGGAGGGTTTGCCCTGTGTTGATTGGTCAACTGGTTGTTATGGCCCATAGGCCCTCCCAGGGTGGTTGCTATGCTCTGTGCGTCATTGCTGTGCACTTGTCCGTAAAGTACACCCAGAGCCGTAAAGCAAAGCACCACCAGCTAACTTCTGATTGGTTCCTTGCCACGAGGCAGGCATTTGACCTCCTAGTGACCAAGGCAAAGTCAGACAAGCACGTGTTTGGCTGTTATGCCTGCCGATATGGGGAGCTGGTCCCTTCACCTTCAGTAATGAATGGTGATGTGGAAGTATAAGATAAATAAATCCTTAACTCCTCAAGTTGCTTTGGTCATGGTGCTTTGTCACAGCAGTGATAACTCTTAGATACCTAGTGACACACTTCCTCCAGCAAGGCTCTACCTTGTAAAAATTCCCCAAGTGTTTAGACACATGAGTCTGTGGGAGACTTTTCTCATCCAAACAACCACACACTTTTTTTCGGGCAAAATTTGTTGTAGTCACTGTGGGGACAGTGCTGTTGGATCTCTCAGCATCTTGTTGCCAAGGAGATATTTTACTTTCTGTTCATCTCTCCACAGACTGGAAGCAAGATGGTGTCCTCTGCCAAGGCGGCAGTCCCCACTGTGAGTGACCAGGCCGCAGCTATGCAGCTGAGTCAGTGTGCGAAGAACCTGGCCACCAGCTTGGCGGAGCTGCGCACCGCCTCACAGAAGGCAAGTGGGGCCTCCTCCCAGTGGTTAGCTCTTCAGGCAGCTTTTCATCTCTTTGTGATGTTGTGGTATGAAGATCCAGGCCCTAGCACTGCTGGGCTAGTTTCTCACCATAGCTGTCTATTTCATTAAAAGACCATTAAAGATAGCTCTGTGGGTAGCATTTAGCATAAGCTCCCAGGCTTGATTATCACCTTCCGGTTAGAAGTGGCTTCAAGTTATACGCTTCCTCCATCGCTTCCCATTTCCTGGGGCAAGTAACGGTCTCTTTTCAGTCTTAAGTGAGACTGCTAATCTTAAGAGTATCGGTACCAGATAAATTGCAGGCCAAATAAATGTGCTAAGTAGCTTTTCATTGCTATGACAAATACCAAAGAGAATCACCTTAAAAGTAACAAAGGTTTATTTAGTCAAGCATGGTAACACATGCCTGTAAACCCAGCACTTGGTAGATGGAGGCAGAAGCTTCCAGAAGTTCAAGGTCATCTTCAGCTTATTGGCTAAACAGGCCATCCAGGGCTATGTAAGACCCTGTCTTAAAAAAAAAAAAAAGGGCAAGGATTAGATAGTGAAGGAAGGAAATGAAGAAAGATGAGGAGGGGAGACATCATTGTGGATTTCTATTCACTGTCAGTTGGTCCTGTTGCCTGTGGCTGGTAGCAGTACTGTGTGCCTTGTAGTGGCAACACCATGTGTAAAGTAAAAGTACAGGCAGGTGGAATTTGCTCACTTCGTGGCAGCCAGGATGCAAAAGATACAAGATGGAGCCAGGGTCCCAATAATTCCTTCAGTGGCACAATTCCAATAACCTACCTTCCTTCCGAGGCCCCACCTCCCAAGAGTACCACGGACTGGGACTAACTAATCCTTTATCACATGAAGCACTGGCATTTCAGACCCAAATTAAAGCAACAAGTGATTATATCCATATCAAACAAACTATGTAGGTAGAAAATACATTTGGGAGTAGGGCTGTCATCTTAGCTGTGATTTTCTTCCCTAAAATGTTTTCATACCTCACATGGACACTTTGCCTTAACAGAGTTTCAGTAGAACAGAATTGGGGACTAAATAAATTTCTCCCTCTGGAACTCAGTTATCAAAAGAGCTCATTATGACTCTGATGTAGTTATTACCATGAAGTTCTGGCTTAAATTCACTTTTTCCTTGTAGTAGTCCCTTTATAGAAACTAGCAGCCTCGTAAAGTGGTGAGAGAAGAAAGTAGAAGTCAACTTAAATGCCTGACATGAACAGAGGTTCTGCATTGCCAAAATGAAGGGCCCAGGGCCTTAGACTATCTCCAGCAAAGTTTGTACTTTGAGCTACTTTTCAGAGAGGACCTGGAACCATCCACACTGGAACAGCCTGGTGTGTGGCAGGGTGCTTACTAGGTACCCAGCATGCCTCTGGCAAGCCCATCCATACCCCAAACCATGAAGCCCACACAGCTGCAGGCTAAGTTTTCTCAGTGAATCTTAGCATATGCCAACATCTATAACCTATATGCTAACCTATAACAGTGAGCCCCAAAGTGGTTCTTAAGCAAGAATGTCTGTTGGTCCAGGTTAAGCCCGCAAGAGCTTTTAATTTTTTTTCCCCAGTGCATCAGAAGGCATGAAGACTCTGGAATCAGACAGTGTGAATTCTAATTGACCCCTGTCATTGACACCTTTATTGACCTCTCTGAGCTTCTGTACCTAATAATATAGACACATAAATCAGCTACTTCATATTTACTGCTGCTCTCACAGAGTGATAATTTCTAAGTATTGAGAATATTGATAGGCAGTAGTACATATGCATAAAATTCATTAATGCGTGTTAGACCCATGAAGTCCTAACTATTGGAGAGCAGTGTTCTAGATGATCAAGATAGTTAAATAAGTAAAGCAAATAACTAGATGGGGGAGTTTATAAATCTTTAGTATGGAAGGATAATGATTTATGGCATTGAAATGTATGAAAAGAAATCACTATGGGATCCTTCATCGGTTATTCATTTATTTACTTATTTGCTTATTCACTCCTTTGCTGCATGTGTCCCAAGCCTCTGGACACACACACTGGCACATCCCAAGCCTCTTTGTATAGACTTGCTCTGCTGTGTGTGTGCCCTATCCTAGCAAGCCAAGCCTGGTGAATCAAGGATGTATCTTCAAGGTCTGAATGTGAAGTAGCTTCAAAGGAGGTTTCTAAGTGTCTGCAGCCCTAAGACACACGTAATTAGTGCCTTAGGAAAATTTTGGTTAAGGACCTGAGTGACGAAGGTTCTGTCCTCTCTGGGGAAATACTTGCTGCCTTTGCTTTCTCCTTGAGTCAGAGTTACCGGGAGTGTCTAGGAAAACATTTAATAGGTTGCAGAGTATTAGAGATGCTTTCCCACGCCTACTGTATACACATATCCCCTACTCTTTTGGCAGGCCCATGAAGCCTGTGGTCCCATGGAAATCGATTCTGCACTGAACACAGTACAAACTCTCAAGAATGAGTTGCAGGACGCCAAGATGGCTGCTGCAGAAAGCCAGCTAAAACCACTTCCAGGAGAAACGGTAAAAAGCTGGGGGTGTATTCTACCATCTTCCTTCTTTCCTTTTTTTTTTTTTTTTTTTTTTTTTTTTTTTTTTTAATGGGGGGGGTGACTCTGCAAACTCCTGATACAGTGTGAATTGTACATTTACACCAAGCAGTGGGTTGCATAGAATGCAAAATAATGCACTGTAATTTGTGTGTGTGTGTGTGTGTGTGTGTGTGTGTGTGTGTGTGTTAGGGTTGGTGGGGGATGGGGTTTGCACATACTGTGTTCTGTCATTGGCAATGATGGACCAGACTCCATTTTAATTGGAAGGTATGGCCTTCATTGGGGAAGGAGTTGTATGTTTTAGACTGTATAAATTCCCTTATGTCTTTCTGTCCATTCTTGTACACCTATACGTCTCTTCTAAATAGTGTCCTCGTATGCTCATTAATTATCTGTACCCTAGACTTTTACCAGTTTTGTTTTTTATTTGGTGAATAAAACAAGCTGGCACGATCTTCATGAGAAGCACACCCTCTGCCTTCCTCCACGGTCTCAGTTGCCACTTCAAACCTCCATTTTTCTTGCATGTCTTTCAGTTTGAACTCCTCGAAGGATAATGACCAAACTGGACATGTTAATGGTCCCTCAAGCCAGGAAGCTGGTGCAGTTGGCTATCTGCCTGCTTCCTGCCAAGCCACAATTACAGCCTACTAATGATTTCTTTTGGACTTTCTAAGGTGCCATGCTAATCGTTGCAGCCTGCTAAGGAACTGCACTCATTTGCTGAAGGCCTTCTTAGCTAGGTACTTTCAGGAGTGGGGCTTAGCAAGAGTCAGTAACTCACATGGTTCCACACAGCTAGCAGGACCTGCACGGGGCTCACTTAGTCTAAGCCAGGCCGTTTTCCTCTGTACTGCAGCTGACTCGGGTGAGAAAGCTCAGGTTCAGTTTCTGATCTGCAGCATTGCTCTAAATCTTGTTAAGACCTCCAGAGAATGTTTCTCTTCTAAGTTCTGCCTTCCTTGGGTTTTCTTACAGCTGGAAAAGTGTGCTCAGGACCTGGGAAGCACCTCTAAGGGAGTGGGCTCCTCCATGGCCCAGCTCCTCACCTGCGCTGCTCAAGGCAACGAGCACTACACAGGTAGGACTCTTGGAGCTGTTATAATAAATCTTTCCGCCAAAAGCCGATGGAGCCCTACTGCCACGTGGGCAGTCTCCACTAGCCGCTGGAGTTCTGCCCACCACATGGATGAACAAAATAATACAGAGACATATTAGGTACAAAGCTGCTTGGCCAATGACTAGGATTCTCATCTGTTAGCTCAGTCTTAACTATCATAAACCTTTATATTTTATAAGACTTTCTTATCGGATGCCTTGTTGGTGTCCCTCCTTGCCGGTGGCTCACATTGTGCCGCTGCAGCAGGAGATGAGGAGGGGAAAAAGGGGCCCTTCCTGTTTCTCCTTCGCTTATATATGAGTCTCCTTGCTATGTCACTTCCTGCCTGGATCAGCACTTCTCTACTACATTTCCCAGAATCCTCTTTGACTCCTAGTCCTAACTTGCTGTCTCATTGGCCAAACAGTATTTTATTCAATAATCAATAAGATAAACATACACAGTACATTCCCCATCATGGAGCCTCTGTGATGCCTGTGCTGGGCTTGCACACCCGCTGGTATGGAGAGGAAGGGTCACTGATTGACTAAACTTGCCTCCCCACAACTTCACAGCATGTCCATCAAGCATGGTTATCTCGGTGAATAACTAATGCGTAGTCTGTGAGATTAGGATAACTTTTAATAGGTAAATGCCAACCAACAGGATGCCAGAGTGTGCCAAACTAGCTTTGTTTGTCCCTTTAAACCTCTCACACATCACCCTGACATCACCTTGACCACATCCTGATGGGCGTGGTCGGGCACACCTGTAGCTAGCCCTTAGAAGGTGTGGTTACAGTGTCTCCCTACAATTTTAGTCAAAATGAGGATTAAAACTTAACAGTGTAAAGTATCCAAAATTAACAGTTCATAAAGTTGAAATGCAAGAAGATACAATCTGCTATGTCACATCCTACCTATGTCTATTTTAACTAAACCCTAAAGTCATCTGAAAGAGGTGTTCAAACCTGAACACCTCCTTCCAATCCCAACCCTAAATAGTAGGAAACTATCTCTAACTAGGTATACATTATCCTTAGTGACAACAATGGGGGAAAGGAGACATAGCATCCTCCAAGTTACTTCCTGCTGAAATGGGATGATGATAGCCTTGTGGGGTCCTGTAGGAAGAAAATGTTAGTATAGTGAAAGTCTCGAATGGATTGTATCCAGTCCATGTTAGGTGTGATTTGCTTGATTGAATATCTAGGTTTCTAGGTTGAAGTCCTCAACTTGATTGGAGTTCTTGTGTTGATTGAAATCAGTACCCAGAGCTCTGGCTGGAGTGTCAGTTGAAACGGAACAAGTTGGATATGGAGTAGCCAAGGAGGTGTGGTCCGTTTTCTTTCCATAGTAGTGTACAGGGATTGCTGTCAGGCGGGTCTTCATTGGCTGTGTGGGATGCAAACATACGTGTTAGCAGAGAAATATTTGCTTGTGTATGTATGCATACCAGGAAAGGCAACCATGGGAAAATAACAATTATGAGAGGGTGTACACCTTGAGAGAAAGAGCCAAAAAAAGACAAAGACAATCCGAAAATTTTCTCTTATTCTGTATTACATCAATTGGCTTCTTGATATAATACAGAAACTCCAAAGTTTAGTTAAACAATGTGCTTGGATTTTAGAGGAGGAAAGCCAAATCCAACTCTAAATCCAGCATTGATTTAATTGAATGGAGACTAGGAGACAGAGAAATAAGCGTAGTGGAAATTGTCTTATGACCAGTTTTCTTTTGTTTGATGGGTATAATTACCTCCTCTTTTACCCATGTAGTGTCCCTTGACTTCTGGGAATGAGTCTTCCTGTGAAAAGACAAACAAAACACTTCCCTTTCCTTTATGAGGTTTCAATTCAGTTTATGAAATATACTTTGGTAGAATACCTGTCATTTCTCCTCTTTGAGAGGTTTTTCCTTTTCAACTCATATATTGACCAACTTTGATGGTATCCAAAGTTTTTCTTCTCCTGTGGAAACAAATGCTAAACCCCTTCCCCAACCTAACACATGCCCTGGTTTCCATACCGAGATTAGTATATCTTTGAAGTATACTGGCTGATTCAGTTCAACAGTTTTTTCCATAGTCCAGTCTCTTTCTGCAGCTGTTTGTCCTTTCTCATTGGCATTAAGAAAGTTTAGTGTTAATAAAGCATTATGTAACCTATGTTTGGGGGCTTTGTCCCCCCAGCCTGTTTATGGAGCATCTCCTTCAGTGTTCTATTAGATATCTCAACCACTGCCTGTCCCATAGGATTGTGTGGTATACTGGTCACATGCTTTGTGTTATAATATTTGAAAAACTGTTCCAATTTAGTGGAGACAAATGCTGGAGCATTGTCAGTTTTTATTTGTGCAAGTATACCCATGACCACAAGCACCTCTAGCAGGTGTATAATAACAGAATCGGCTTTTTCAGAGTTAAGAGCAGTAGCCCATTTGAACCCTGAGAATGTGTCTATAGTATGATGCACATATTTCAAATTTCCAAATTCTGCAAAGTGAAAGACATCCATCTGCCAAACCTCATTTCTCCGAATGCCCTTAGGGTTACAGCCTTCCTTTTTGTCCTTCTGGTCCTATGCAGACCACTGAGTGAACACTGTTGAACTCTAGATAAAGTTCCAATTCCTAAAAATTGTACATTCACCTCTCTAAGAGGCCATCTCTGAGGCCAGGACTTTTGGGTAATAATAGTTGTGTCTGCACCAGTGTCCACCAAGCCAGTAATAACTTTATTATTAATTCTTACTTTCAACTGAGGCCTCTTATCGTTAATAAAGTTTGCCAAAATATGTGTTTATCATCTTGTCCAGGCACATTTGATTCTTCATTGCTAGCCAAACTACCATTCAGTGCAGTATCATTTTTCACAATAGGCAAAGAACTATTCGTCTTATGAGAGATTGTCTTCCACTGCTACTGGGAACGACTGGACCTTTCTCGATGTGGGGGCTTCTTGAGGCCTCCCTCGGAGTTTCCAGGCCCTAACGGGATTCCTTGCTTGTCCCTGGTTGATCTACATTCATTGGTCCAGTGTCTGCACTTACCACATCTTCTACACAATCCAGAAGGTGGTGACTTTCCATATGAGGCATTGTTACATTCCCCTTGTCTACAATTTCTCTTAATATGTCCCATTCTGCCACAGCTGAAACATCTAGGTTTCCTGGTGCCTTTGTGGTCTCCTGGGGAAGGCTCTTCCTACCCAAGGTTCTGGATCATAGTAGTGATAACCTCTGGCTTCTTGGTACCTATGTTGACCTCTGTAAGGTGCTTCTCCTTCCCAAAGCCTTGCATCCTCACCTCTAGAACTTTAAATCTCCTGTTGCCTTTTTAAACCTTTCTAGATTGCCTCTCCTACCCAAGCTCCTGTGTCCTGTACATTATAGTCGAGGTTGGCTGCATGCAAAACCCATTCTTCCAGTGGAGCTGATCTGAACTTTAAAGGCAAAAGTATTCTTGCATATTGGGTTTGCATTTTCATAAGCTATTGTATATACATTGATTGTCTTGTTTCTGGATCTGTTACCTGTAATTCTACTGCCCTAGGTAACCTTTGTAAAAAGTCCTGGAACTGTTCTGTAGGTCCCTGTTCTATTCTGGTATAAGCTTCTAGACGTTCTCCTGGCTCACGAACCTTATCCCAGGTGTTTAATGCTGCTTTCCTGCATAGGGACAATATATGGCCATCATATTCAGCCTGAGCCTGTGGGTTAGCATAAATACCCTCACCAAGAATCTTATTTAAGGGGGTTTCATAACCATCCTTTATGCCTTGATGCTCGAGGAGCTTCTCCTCCTCCCTAAACAAAGCCCTCCATTGAATTTGGCATGAATTCTCAAATATCGGAACCTAGACTCAAATTCGTGACCTGTTGAGGTCAATACCTCAACAGTCAACCAAATGGACCTATCTAATATGTCAACCCTGTTCTGTAAATTGTCTTCCAAACATTCAAACCTAGACTCGAACATGTGACCTGTCACAGCAGGTGTCTCCCTGCACACTGTCTTGTTGCTAAGCTCTTCCCAGGCATAGTTGACACTTTTCTCCTGGCTGTAATGTATTTACTTGACAGGTGTCAAGTTAAGTAGGGAAGTGTTCATTTTTGACTCACAGTTTAAGGCAATATAGTTCATCATGACTGAGAAGTCATGCTGGCAGGAACATAAGGCAACTGGTCACTTGGCACCCCACAGTCTGGAAGCAGAGAGAGATATACTGCTTCTCAGCTTGCTGCCTTCTGTCTGTTCAGTCCAGAACCCCAGCCTTTGCTAGTACCTGCATTGATAATGGATCTTCTCACCTCACTCAACCTAACTCTAAACTCCCTCACAGACATGACTAAAGATCCTGTCAGCTTGACAAATATTAACCATACAATGATATAACATAAAATGATTCTCAAACTACATGTAGATCCCTGTTAGACTCTGGGGGAGGCAGGGATAATTGTATACTTCTAGAACTATCTCTGGCTCCAGAAATCCCACCAAAGTATAAAAACATCAAAGAGAAAAAAATGTCAATAGAGTCAGATGCAAGGCCGATGAAGGGAATGGTCAAGCTCAATGGGCATGCCCTCAGGGGCTCCAGGGAGTGATGGAAGGAGGGCAGCCAGCAATAAGGGAGTCACTAAAGGGACCTGAACTTTTTCAATGCCAAGTATCTGTCTCTGAAAGGCAGAACAATCCTTAATTAGGAATCTCAGTAAAAGGCCGTGTGGCTAATGAAAGGGAAAAGCAGAGACTGTTTCCTGGAGATCATGACATCAGTTTCTGGTTTACCTTTCAGGGTGTAGCCCCTAGTGTATAAGTGAGGCTGCAGTAAGGTGCAGTGTGCACCAAGGTTCAAAACTATTCTCTTGCCCTACCCCCATGTGCTTGCAGGCTTGTCTCAGGCACTCTCTTCCCCTCCCTCCCTCCCTCCCTCCCTTCCTCCCTCCCTAAATTAGAAAATGCCTTGAGGGAAAATAC